TTGTGTAAGAACATAAAAAAGTTACCTTTGTAGAAGCAGAACGAAGAAAAAAAGAAATAGAGATGTTTTGAAGTCGTATAGTGTCAGTGTGAAGAAGCATGTGAGTGTTGCCGTAGATTTTTAGTTTAAATGATTTTTTAAAAGATCTCGTCAAAATTGTTAATAAGTAACGATCTTCGCATTGTCTAATTCCAGAAATTGTATTTAGGAAACGTTAATGAATATCAGTAAAGCTTATCATTGTTATTTAAGCACATTCGATCTAACAGAGCTTGTGAATTGGATATATCATATTCTCAATACTTCATTTACATACATTCGTAGATTGATTAATATTTCATACAGATCCGACGACTAAATAAAACATAAATATTCGATTCGATTTATCACAATGAATCAAAATTGATCATTCTTTTTCTATTCCAAGCATAGAAGATATTTATCTTCGAAGTTTAGTTAATAAATCGAATGACCTCTTACGTGACTTTTATTATTGTTATTTAAAAATCTTTATAGAAAACTCTTCTTAGATATAAAATACATTCAAAAAAGATGTTGTAAATGTGTTTATTTTCAATAGTTGAGGTTCATTGGAGTCAATTGAAATTGATACTTCCGGAATGATATATTAAAATAGCTATTAAATGACGTTTAATCTTCATGTATGAAGTTTCTTTTCAAAGTCCAACGAGAAAGTATCAAGACTATTCGAATGATCATCCTAAAATAAATAACAAATAACAATCAACAGAATGAAATGATTTTTAATTTTATAATTTTACGGAGACATTGCATTCGAAAGTAGATCTGCGTAATTAGAAGATATTATCTTTCAAAAAAAAGCAATTTACTTTAGTGGCAAACGACAGAGACCATATTGGCTTGATGCGTTCATATTTTTCGCATGTTTCGCACACTCCTTTCCATCTGTTATCTTCATGAATTTGTCCACAATTAGAGCAACTTCCGTTTAATATAGTGACACCCTCCCACCACGGATTGTTTAAGTTTGTNGACGTCGACCATCACTTCGATCAAATATCCAATTCTTCACACTTTTCACCAAATCTTCATACAGACTTTTACGTCTCAATTCAACTTCAACCAATGTGTGATGTTTTGTAACATCAGTTGTTTTCGATGATTCCGATGTCGAAATATCATGGCCACTTCTTGAGTTACTCATTGTTTATCTATGAAAATCGTCGAACTGAAAGAAAAACAATATCAGATTTAGTTAACGGATAAGTGATTTTGATGGGTAACGAATCACGATCTCTACTCTCATATAGTAAATGTACAGAATGAAGTCACTCAGTCTGATTCAGTGGGATAAAACACGCGTCAGACTACAGATCGAAATGTAGTGTTCGCATTTCATAATAGAAAAAAAAGCAAATGTAGATTTGAAACCGAAAAACAATTTATTTTGTGTAAGAACATAAAAAAAGTTACCTTTGTAGAAGCAGAACGAAGAAAAAAAGAAATAGAGATGTTTTGAAGTCGTATAGTGTCAGTGTGAAGAAGCATGTGAGTGTTGCCGTAGATATTTAGTTCAAATGATGTTTTAAATTGTGATTTTTCAAACGATCTCCGCATTGTCTAACTCCAGAAATTTTGTCTCGGAAATGTTACTGAATATCAGTAAAGCCTATCATTGTTATTTAAGCACATTCGATCTAACAGAGTTTGTGAATTAGATATATCATATTCTCAATACGTCATTTACATACATTCGTAGATTGATTAATATTTCATACAGATCCGACGGCTAAATAAAACATAAATATTCTATTCGATTGATTACAATGAATCAAAATTGATCATTCATTTTTTCCATTCTTTAACTCTTCGAAGTTTATTTCGTAGATTCTTTCGTTATTTAATAGTTAAATCGAATGACATCTGAAATGACTTTTATTATTATTATTTAAAAAATCTTTATAGAAAACTCTTCTTCGATATAAAATACATTCAAAAAAGATATTGTAAATTTGTTTAATTTCAATCGTTGAGGCTCATTGAAGTCAATTGAAATTGATACTTCCGGAATGATATATTAAAATAGCTATTAAATTACGTTTATTCTTCATGTATGAAGTTTCTTTTCGAAGTCCAACAAGAAAGTATCAAGACTATTCGAATGATCATCCTAAAATAAATAACAAATAACAATCAACAGAATGAAATAATTTTACGGAGATATTGCATTCGAAAGCAGATCTGTAATTAGAAGATATTATCTTTCAAAAAAAGCAATTTACTTTAGTGGCAAACGACATAGACCATATTGGCTTGATGCGTTCATATTTTTCGCATTTTTCGCACACTCCTTTCCATCTGTTATCTTCATGAATTTGTCCACAATTAGAGCAACTTCCGTTTAATATAGTGACACCCTCCCACCACGGATTGTTTAAGTTTGTTCTAAAAACACTTGTACATGTTTGTCGACTTGGAATAATTTGTAATGTAGCATGACGAAATTCGATCGGATGTTTGATCACTTTATCAGGAATGCCATGATTCTTGATTTCTTTCCAATTCCATTGTTCTACACTATCATCTGAATATAGTCGAATATTCATGTGTAACAAGTGCTTTGGTATTCTGCGCCATTCAAGATTACCGAGTTGATCCTTAATCTCGTCGAGAATAATATCGAATGTGAAGTTCGATGGATAACTCATGAATAATGCGATGGGTTCATTGGAGAAATCCTGTCCAAATCGAAAGTGAGAAGTAGCATGACTTATTTTTCGAGTTGTAAACAATGGTTCTTGTATTTCGACATTACTAACTGAAGGACGGAACGATTCAAACTGTTCTTTCAGTTCTTCTGGTTCGAGCACACTTTCAAATTGAGCTAATGTGATTCTATAATATCCATTCCACATATTAGGAATAGTTTTTGCATTTGTATTTTGGTGCCAACATATCAAAATAGTTGTTAAATGCATTCAATCCTTGAAATTTCTGCTGATCAGATAAATTCCGAGAAAAAAAGCCAAACTCCACTGGATCAATGGAAAGGAAACCAAGTATGTGTATGGGTTCATGCTCTTGTCTGTAAATTGAGTTGGAAACTTGTTAAAAAATTTTACACGAAATCACAGTTGATAACTTACTGAATAATTTTGATGATTGACAGTTGATCGAATGTGATAATCTTTGGTAAATCTCAACCTCCTTTCATACATTATATACATCTGATCGATAGGGTATTTTTTCATTGTACTGAACGCATCTAGTTTGGGACACTGGGAAAAAAACACGTCATACACTTTTATTCCCTGATAGGTTTTCATTGAAATAAAAACAACTGTCTTTTCGAATACAGAATTAAAACAATTTCGCGTCGAAAAACATTTCACGAGTAAGAACAGAAGAAAAAAACTCTTTCGCACATAAACAGAACGACATATTGGTGATGACGGTAAAAAACGTGAGTTGAAATATGAAGATAAGGGTGAAAACAAAGTCATTATTCACACTTTATTCTGGTCTGATATTCTCTTTAGTAAACCCATTTATGATAGTAATAAAATTCCAATAGAATTCCTATTTGATTTTCAGTTTCCCCGATTTTATAGGTATGCCGAAAAAGTGAGTGCACTATTAGAATCAGGCAGTCTGTCTGTCCGTTCGTTCACACGATAATTTTCAACAGAAAAAGCTGAATGATCCGAGCTTTTCAGCACAGCATTATCTCATCGATATCTTAGCCAAGTTCGAACATGAGTCCGATCAGTTGTAGCGTTACTGACTTTTGAGTAAGGTTTTCTCCGACCTTTATATAAAATGGGTGTATTTCACCCAGATCATTCATCAACTAGTTATAGGTCAATATTGAAGTTCCGGTCATTAAACCTTGCACCGCGGATTTAGATTTAATGAAAGGTGAAAGTGAACGAAGATTACGAGAATGACACTGAGCTCATCTACTTGGATGAAATTCTCCCATATTATTTTTGTTCTTGTTAACGTTAAAGGACCCATTCTATAGATGTACTCGATTTTACTGACAAAGAAATCGCATCGTAAGAATCGATCAGTGTATTTTCTAGTCATTTGTTTGCAAAATAACTTCTGAATAGCGTGTTAATACATCAGAATCTCGCTCAAGTTTGAAGATGACACTGATGGGAGGTTATGACCTTTCCGCTATCAAAAGAAGTATTGATATTCGAATAAAATGCGAAGTCTCCACATTTATTTTTCCCTATTTTCACATCAGATGAGTTCTTTACTTTTCTTCCATCAAAATCACTTATTCATTAACTAAATCTGATGTCATTTTTCTTTCAGTTCGACGATTTTCATAGATAAACAATGAGTAACTCAAGAAGTGGCCATGATATTTCGACATCGGAATCATCGAAAACAACTGATGTTACAAAACATCACACATTGGTTGAAGTTGAATTGAGACGTAAAAGTCTGTATGAAGATTTGGTGAAAAGTGTGAAGAATTGGATATTTGATCGAAGTGATGGTCGACGTCGTTTATCTGAAATGCAAATGTCACATCTTGTTTTACGTTATATATTCAATAAAAAAGCGACAATATCAAGTTCGAAATGTGATCCTGTATTTATTAGTGGTACATCGACTGTTGCTCGAAATCAACTTGAATGTGATCTGAAAAATATAAATATAAGAGGAGCAAAAGAATTAGCTGATCTAATTGATGATGAACTCACGAGTGCAGCAAGAAAAATTCGCTTTGAAAAGTTTGAAAAAGATGAAGAAGTGAAATTATCAACATCGACAGAGAATGAACTTATTTATCGAGATCGTCGTCAAACAGATTTCAATCGATTAGCACAACGTTATGGTCGAGAATATTACAATGCAGCTTATGCACTTGGATTACGATATAGTTATGTTTGTTTGACAGGTCATGGTCTTGCTCGACAATATAAAGAAGAAACAGGACGGAGTGCAGATGATCTATTGGCTTGTGAATGTTTTGCTTCTGCGTTTAATCATTATTTTGATCAATATCATTCAGCTTTTCCAGATTTAGAAGTCTTTTTTGGATCACGAGGATCTTTTTTCAATATTAATTGGTCCAAACAACCTTCCAATATGACATTCTTTGTAAGTCCTCCATATGATGAATCACTTATCCAATTAGCTGTAGATCACGTTTTCAATGCTTTGGATAATCATTTGGTATCTCAATCCACATTTATCTTCTGTATACCTGGACGTTGGACGAATTTCAAAGCTCTTGATGCATTGAAAGTCAGTCGATGGATGAAAGAATTTGTAGATTATCCAAAAGATAAATTACCTTTCATCGATTACATGGCAAGAAATGAAAAAGATCGAATTATTTATCCAACAGACACTTGTCTCATCACTCTTTCGACGGAAATGGAAAATGAAAAAGAACAATTTCGACAATCAACAACAACGAAAAAAAGAAGAAACGAAAGTGAAGAAATAGAAGATAATGAGAATCCAATGAATACAAATGGAACGAAGAAAATCAAATATGACTTGACTGATTGATAAAAATGTCTAATCTTATCAGAAAATATTTACGGAAATTCGAGAAAAAAAAGAATGTCAATGTTTCTTTTTTAAATTGACATGTACAAATGTCATCAGAATCATCTGAGACAAATTTTCAATAATCGTATAAAATGTATCGTAAAATTAACTTTGCAATAGCATTTGGGACAACTAAACTTGAGATATTTGAATATATCTAAGAAAGTTTCTCTATTGTAATCGCGATATTTTAATTCGAAAATACTTTGACGTCTATATTCATAGTAATTTGTCTAATTTCTTGATCGAAAAGAATATTTCAAAAGAATTCATCTTAGAAAATGAATATGAACAGATGTGTTCATGAGAACACACATAAAAAAACACGACTGGTCGAAATAGTGAAGAATGTATGTTGACAAAAGTCATTTTTTAGACTATACATTGTAGATTATATAATTATATAATCTTAAAAAACTTTTTCACATTTGAAACTTTTAATTGTTAATGGTGTTATTCGGTAAATCTTATGAGCATAATGCTGAATGGTCCTCTGTCTGAATGAGACAATTTATGCAATTGATGAAGAAGAAATCGAAAAGGATTTCATCGTGGGAATGAATATTTGAATTCTGATAAATTGGAAAAGATTAAACAAAATTGCGATAGTTAATTTTTGAATCCTAATCTCTGTGAATAACTAGAGAAGTTAAATTATATAAACGAATATCTTTTCTGATGAATTGGAGATCATTTAAAAGAAGTTCTGAATATGCAAACATTAACAATGTTACATGAGGAAAAACTTGAATGAAAGGATTGTTTAAAGGTTGTCGAAGACAATTCAGGTGTGTTGCTTTTTATAGAAGATTTGTTTGATTGATATTTATGTCACAGGAAAGATATTTCTCAGATTGAAATTGTTGAAATGACGATCGTCCGATTATTTTCTGTAAGTAAAACAATGCAGTTAAAGAGTTCAATTTGATATCATTTTATGTTGATGAGGAAGAAAAAGATTGTTCATGGGACAAGAATCTTCTAGAGAAGAAAAACAATGTAAATCCTTGAATGAGTGAATAAGTTGCAAAAATGATTGAAACTAAGAAAAGTCCTCTTTTGCAATATAAAACAATTAATAAACATTAAAAGGAATGACAGTCGTAGTTCTATACCATCGTCTATCTCAGATTAAATTCGATCTATGAAATGTTTTCATAAGACATGCCATATTTGTTAATCATGTCGAGAATCTCCATTAATGGTTATACACGTAAACCGGATTGATGGAATATACTCAATATTATGAAGTTCATTGCTATTAGATATAACCAATCAGGTAGTTCTGTAATTGTATAATATTGGATGATTGAAGAGAAAAGAAAAGAAATTCACCGGATCCAACAAAACTTAATTAAATCATTGCTTTTAATTTTCGTTTTGGTCGTCACAAGTTCTGACGAATAATAATCACATTTTGATTTGATGTTATGTAAACACGACGAATTGATCGTTGAACATGACAAGCAATAAGAAGATAAATATTAACGATAACACTTGCTGGCAAAACACATGATACTACAGCAATGTACAATGCAATCAGATAATCTTTGTTTGATACAATATAATTACGAGATTATACTTCGGGACCAAAACCTTCACTGACAAAAAATGGTGGTGCAGCTGCTATTGCACTTAGAATCCAGTTGAAGAAAATCAAAATCCCATGAATTGAAGAAATAGGCATGAAGAATACAAAATGTGTCATAAATTATCCAATTTCCATGTGACGCATATATCGATGGAATAATAACCGTTAAAGAATAGAATATCACAGCTACGCATGTATTACACGCATGAGAAGATTATTAAAAGAATGATATTCTCGATTTCGAATAACAACTAGAAGTGTGAAAATACTTGACAATATTCCAATAGATGAAACAAAGATTGCCAAAGACAAGTTTATTGTAAAAAACAGATCGGGCAACATTTTCAATGAGATATCTTTCTATTTCCAGGCATATAAGTTATGTATTTTCATTCAATCAGCAAGAACTTTGGTAATCTTGGCAATGACGTTCATAAATGAGACTTTAGATAAAAGTTGTGCCCGCAGTCGAGATGACAATTGGAATATCTATTTAAATTTCTTTTTGATTATGACGTCTGTTAAATCCCTTCGAGAGATTCTCGGAAAATATACGTAAACACAAAGATTTTCTTAGTTTCAGATATTAAAAGCCGTTTTGAAATTCGGCGAATTTTTATTCCAGAAGATCCCTCTACGTTTATACCGTGTAACCTTCTTTTTTTAAAATTGAATTAACGCCTTAAGAAATGTTTTTTTTGTATGTACAATAAATCAGCGAAGGAAAAATTTGACTCGTCGTAGCTTTTTAAAATTGTTTCTGGAACTTGAAGAAATTGGAATTGTCGGAGAAATTAATGATTTTAAATCAGCACAATCGATGTCAGTTGATGGATGAAAATCTTCATAAATCAAATCAATGCCAAAAGTAAATCTCGATATCTATTAGCTATGGATTTATTCAGACAGTTGTCACATTTTCTATCCTCAGATTAAAAGTTAGTCTTTTAATCATAAAGACGAAGTTTTTATCATGTAAAGTCTACAAAGTAAAAATGTCCATGGTCATTCTTTTCTTTTGTTCTGTAGAACATTTGCAATGATGATAGTGCATTTCAATTCGTTATCATTTTCAAATGTTTTTCTCTCAAACTATCTTTTCATATTAATTTACATGAATGAAATCTAACAGAAGTTTTATTTGTTTCTTTTTGTTTATTTCTTCTATCGAAATAATTCATACGAATGATCAAATATATCCATGGTTAAATCTTCCTTCAACTCCATCTCTTCCACATCCCAATCAAGGTCATTTTCTTCAATTAACTAATCATCGTCTTTGGTACAATATCTGTGGTCAGTCAATCCATTCTCCAGTTCTTTTTCTTCATGGTGGATTAGCAAATAGTGACTATTGGTCATTACAAATTCAAGAATTACAAATTGATTTTCAATGTATTGTAATGGATTCACGNATAATGAGTGATCATTTCATATAGGAAAAGAGATGAATTTTGAAAGGCACAAGGAGTGAAGAATATACTTGAAATGGTTTCATTATTATTCGTACATGACCAGAAGAAAAATACGATTCCATGATACACAAAGCAATAGACAATTATAAAGACTGGAGGAAAATAATGAATAAGAATACGTTTGGTTTTTGTTGCGATTAATTTATCATGAAAAATGAGAATATGTCTTTCGATTGTAACCCAAGCATAAAGAATACTTTCAACAATATAAAATGTCCAATCAAAATATCCGTAAATAACATGAAAAGTAACTGATGGTGGAAATGTTTGAAAATTTCGAAAGTAATGTATCATACAAATCATAATTGTCAATTCATAGATGAGATTTAGAATAAGAAGAACAATGATAATGTGATTGTGAAGAGCTTGACGAAGATTTCGATCGTAGAGAAAATGATACAAAGCAAATAATGAACAACTAATTGATGGAATAATTAACAGAAGATATATTGAGAATAGTATTGAATAAAAATCTGACATAGGAATAGTCAGTGAACGTACATTTATCGTAGAATGATTGTCTGAATTTGTCGACATGAAGGAATTCGGAAGGAAAATGTTGACGAACACAATTATGTTGAAGATCTTTTAATAGTAAAAGAGATTTTGGATAAACTTAAGAGTAGAGGATTTATTCTGTATTTAAAATATAATCATCATGATTTTCTTTTAATATGGAATATATGAAAAAAAAGAAACGCAATTAAATATACGGAGAGAATCAGAGTTACCAGACGTCCCGGAAATTCTGAATTTTCCAAATTTTTTTTGCAATGTTTCCGGTTTCCGGATTTGAACACTTCGCACTTTACTTATAAGTTCTACTTGTTTCATCATTCTAGAGATTTGTTAATGGTGCCATGCAGGTGAAATAACTTTTCCTCTTGGTTTTCTAAAGATTATTTGGAGAACAATACAATTATGTAGAAAGCAATAGACAATCCAAAAATTGATCGGACTAATGAAGATCTAATTTTCAGAATGTACTTAAGAAGTCAAACTCAATGATTTTTGGTCATTAGAAGACAAAGATTTTTCTGTTGTCTTATTTCAAACTGTAAAATAAATGAAAATTTGTAGTTTGCAATTATCTTTCCTATCCAATTCCAGACTCCATGAAGATAAAACATCGCATTTTATACAACAGTCATGTCTATTTCGAAAGTATCTAAAAGAGATGAGTCATTGTGAAATGTTTTAGTTACGACGAGAAACATTTTCGAAAAGTACAATTCGTCATATCTTATTGTGTAATAAAATTTTTTGTGTCTGTCGATATCACGATTCAAAACAATTCATAAATCTACGATGGATCCAAACAACAGTATCTTCATATCAACAATATCCATTGCTGTGAAGGTCGGGTTTTTCTCATTTGATTATCGACTACAGAAAACAAGAAGTAATTTGACGTACAATCTCTCGTTCTATGTTAATAATCAGTCTTTAGGTGTCAATGTGAATTTGACTTATATGCCACTCATACTCTTATTCACGCCCTCGAAAACACAAGTAACGCGTGAAAAAGCTGAATGAGTCCTTCAACAAGTATCATTTATAGGTCTGACAACACTTCGATGTTTTCGTATCCATTCACGAACTTTCCAAAACAACGATAAACTATGCCAAACAATAATTTTCAATCCTTCTGTTAATCCACCATATAAACCAAGAAAAGTTGTTAACAAATAAACAACACTGTTTCTTGCCACATAAGAATATCGACACATCGATGGTGAACATATCGAATAATAGTTCGAATAATTTTTTGCATGTTGCCAAGATTCAATGAATAATTCATCAATCATTGTACCAATAGTTATTGAAGAAATCGGGGTAAAACGACTTTTGATTGAACTATTCAACGGAGAGGGAAGGTAGGAACTGTTGAAAAAATAAGATAAGCTCGTTAAACATGTTTGTTGATAAAAGCATTCAAGTGTTGATAATCGAAGACCAAAAGTAGGTAAACAACCAATAACAAGACCTAAATAACAAAATATGAACGATGCAACAAATCAACAATGAGGAACACACAAACCCGAGAATATTCGTTGTTTTGATACATTGATTAAACGAGATCGTGTACATGTTGATTGAGTATCACATGAACACAACACTCCACTTTCATTGACTACTATCGGATTTCCTCCTATTCGATACGAATTATCTACTGTTGGACTTCCTAAATCCCAATTGGTCAAAAATATGTTCTGTAGTTGATTTCCTTGAAGCATGTCAATGATAAATTGATGTGTTCTTCGAAAACTCGTTAGTGATTGAACAATGAAAGTGTCAATAATCGACTCAACTTGCTCTTCAAATGATGTTTTTGACAAAGTTTCAAAAGTGATCAATTCTTGAGAATATAAATTCTGTAGTTGTTGTTCAATCATATCTTTTGCAAGTAAACACAATGCGGATAAAAGACGAAATTGTGTACTTAAGATTTTACCATCCGTAGTTATAATGTAATATTTTAATAATCTCGAACTCCAAAGCATCGTGATGAAATCAGTTGAAATGAAATCACTTGAACATATTTGATGATATTCATTCACTTCAATCGTCACGAATTTCGAATACGAAATTCGAATTTGTGAACATGGACATGAAAGTGTTGATGAATATTGAGTTTGAAGGCGATGAAATTGATCTTGTAATGATACTGTGATAAAGTTAATATGAGAGGTGAAAGTGGTGAAGATGATAACAATCAGAAGAGAAATGAGAAAGAGTAGAAGATAAACACGAGTGGCTATTCGAGAACGTTGTTCTAACTGATCTTCAGAATGTTGATCACCAGTCTTCTTATACAAATTTAATGTACGAAAATAATTCATAAGATGCCAACACTTTTCATGAACAACTAAAATAAAAACTATTTCAAACATTTTCTAAATTCATCTATAAGTTCTCACATGCTTTACTTCTCGATTCTCGTGCAATTTGAAGTGAACATTGAAAACAATGAGAATATATTCGTCGAAGTAAAATTACAAATAATGGAATCAAAATTTGTAGAGCAGTAGAGAGACCACCGACAATACCAAATATTGTGGCAATGATAANGGACGTTGGACGAATTTCAAAGCTCTTGATGCATTGAAAGTCAGTCGATGGATGAAAGAATTTGTAGATTATCCAAAAGATAAATTACCTTTCATCGATTACATGGCAAGAAATGAAAAAGATCGAATTATTTATCCAACAGACACTTGTCTCATCACTCTTTCGACGGAAATGGAAAATGAAAAAGAACAATTTCGACAATCAACAACGAAAAAAAGAAGAAACGAAAGTGAAGAAATAGAAGATAATGAGAATCCAATGAACAAAAATGGAACGAAGAAAATCAAATATGACTTGACTGATTGATAAAAATGTGTAATCTTATCGAAAAATACTTACGGAAATTCGAGAAAAAAAAGAATGTCAGTGTTTCTTTTTTTAAATTGACATGTAAAAATGTCAGCAGAGTCATCGGAGACAAATTTTCAATAGTCAGAATCATATTGGTATAAATAACATTCGATTTCTTTCATTTTGTCATAGAGTCAATGTATTCTTTCTAAGTGATAGAGCGACAAGAGGAATTCACGAGAAATTTAATTTTTATCGTTTAGTAAGCGCATGTCTAAAGGGTAAGATGAGTAAAGCGCCAGAAATAGGAAAATGAGGGAAGTACTTAGTCGCACATTCCAGCATTTAGTTATCCCAATATATAAAATAAGTCTCATTCGGATTTGGCGTCCAAAGTATTTATCTTTTTATTTTAGATGGAGAAGACGGGGAACTGATTGATTTGTTGAATTTAAAATATTGAATCTTCTGTACTCGCGTCCTTTCAGGAATGAGAACAAATCAACCAATGAATCTTTTATTTTAAAATCTTTCGTTTGAATTGAAAGTATCAAAAAAAAAGGAAGAATTATAGAAAGTAGTGCAGTTGCTTACGAACAATTCCTTAAAGATAACTGTTTTCTCTATGATTGATATACGAGCGTAGAAAGGAGAAAAAATATTTGATCTGTATATCCAAAAATAGATATGTTGATGATATTTCCCTTTTTAGCTTTATAAGAAGAAATGTTTCTTTTCTTTTGATATCCATTTGGATTATATCAGAAGAGAGAAGAACAAGAAATCGTACTTTTTCTCTTTTTTTATTTTTATCCGTCTCCAATATCAATAAAGATAAAAGTTATAAAAAAAACAAGGTGATATTTTTTCTCATCGATAACAAAAATCTCTATTACAAAAAATAAATGATTCTTCTCTTTTTCTCAACAATATTTTATTCAGTACAGTTTATTCGCACTCAAAATCAAAATATGAACAATTCGGAATCTCCATGGTTAAATCTTCCTTCGACTCCATCTCTTCCACATCCCAATCAAGGTCATTTTCTTCAATTAACTAATCATCGTCTTTGGTACAACATCTATGGCCAGTCAACCCATTCTCCAGTTCTTTTTCTTCATGGTGGATTAGCAAATAGTGACTATTGGTCATTACAAATTCAAGAATTACAAATTGATTTTCAATGTATTGTAATGGATTCACGTGGACATGGCAGAAGTTCATCATTATCATCATCATCAGAGAGTATTTCCTATGAATTGATGACATCAGATGTGATTGCTTTACTGGATCATCTTCATCTCGATAAAGTTCATGTTATTGGATGGAGTGATGGAGCAAATGTTGGTCTTCATTTAGGAATGAATTATTCACATCGATTATTTTCATTATTTATATTTGGTGCAAATTATAAAGCAGGTGAAGATAATCAATCGATTCCACCACTTTTTCTCACTTATCTTCAAAGAGTAGAAGTGGAATATAAAAAATCTCATTCAAATGAAGAATATGAGATTTTATTTGACAAATTATTAACAATGTGGCATCAAAGTCCAAATTGGACAAAAGTTGACTTGGAGAAAATTCCATCTGATTTATTAATTTGGATCGTAAGTGGTGATCGAGATGAAGTTATTCCTCGAGAACAAACAGAGACTATTTTCAAATGGCTTCCTCAATCAGGTCAATTAACTTTACCTCGAACAAGTCATTTTGCATTTCTACAAGATTCACAAATGTTCAATTTAGTTCTGAGAAAATTTTTAAATCAAAACCGAAATTCATCGACGAATGGTTCGACTATTTTAACTCGATCATTGAATTTATTGAGTTTCATATTTTTATTTCGATTAATATTTTAATAAAAAAATTGACGCAGATCAATGTGAAATTACTTGAGAGGAAGTTTTTGTCTTATCCCAACATGAATAAATGAATTAACCCTTAAGAAAATCAAATCTACGAATAAAGACGACCTTGAAAATGATCTTGTTTTTCGAAGTATTTTCTCCAATGCTATATATAAATGTTTGATTTGGTGCAATTTGAAGATTCCAAATGAATACATAATATTGTTTCACTCTCGTAGCTCTACAAGCTGGATGAGAACATCTTTTGTTCATCGTACTTTTCATTTTCGCACAACTAGAAAACACTATATTTTGTAGTATATCACATTTGTTATAAAACTATATGAGTACCCACAATATTCCTACACTACACTATAATGACCTTTGTCTTTGTCTCTTTAAGAAAAAAATGTCTTTAATTCTGTAAAGATATTCATAGTTTGCTTCGTAGTAAAAGTTTGAAAGAAATATTTTAGACAAGATCTGAAATTGAATTGACTCTTGCTCGTGATCTTTTCTAAGGATCAACTCTCTTCAATTTTCATCAGTAAAATTCATCGTCAAGAGAGAGTTCATAATTCTCTGATAATTTTATCCTTTTATGACAGACTACGAATGGCAAAGTCAGGTAAAAGCAGTACTATTGTATTAAGAAAACATCTTCAGAATTTAATAGATCAAACAAATCATGAGCAAACGAACGGAAAAGACAAAGGCAAGTCCTATTTATAATTAACTTTCGTCAGGTACAAAGTTCTTCGACAAAAAACATTAAATTATGATACTTTTACTGAATAGTTGGTAATTGATTATTTGCCGTACGAAAAGTTGTGAAATTTATTGGACGAATAACACGACGTTGCCCGAGACATGGTAAAACATTCTTGAATTTTCCTCTGAATTCAGGTAATGATCCAACAGCTACTACTGGAAAAAGTAGAAAAGTAAAGTAAGCAAGATACGGTGCAACAAGAAAAAAGTCATTTTCCATGTCCACTGGTACTCCACATATATAAAGAAAATTCATAAATATATAAGGAAATATAAATATTACATAGAGACAAGAAATGGTTAATACTTGAACTGCCATTTTGCGATATCGACTCCAACTTATTCGTCGTTGTACTTGATACTTTCGCCATATAACTCGTACTAATAGTGTACAACTTGATATAACAATGATCAAGATAGGAGATACATAATGAGTGATCATTTCATATAGGAAAAGAGATGAATTTTGAAAGGCACAAGGAGTGAAGAATATACTTGAAATGGTTTTATTATTGTTCGCACATGGCCAGAAGAAAAATACGATTCCATGATACACAAAGCAATAGACAATTATAAAGACTGGAGGAAAATAATGAATAAGAATACGTTTGGTTTTTGTTGCGATTAATTTATCATGAAAAATGAGAACATGTCTTTCGATTGTAACCCAAGCATAAAGAATACTTTCAACAATATAAAATGTCCAATCAAAATATCCGTAAATAACATGAAAAGTAACTGAGGGTGGAAATGTTTGAAAATTTCGAAAATAATGTATCATACAAATCATAACTGTCAATTCATAGATGAGATTTAGAATAAGAAGAACAATGATAATGTGATTGTGAAGAGCTTGACGAAGATTTCGATCGTAGAGAAAATGATACAAGGCAAATAATGAACAACTAATTGATGGAATAATTAACAGAAGATATATTGAGAATAGTATTGAATAAAAATCTGACATAGAAATAGCCAGTGAGCGTACATTTACCGTAGAATGATTGTCTGTATTTGTCGACATGAAGAAATTCGGAAGGAAAATGTTGACGAACACAATTACGTTGAAGGCCTTTTAATAGTAAAAGAGATTTTGGATAAACTTTAGAGTAGAAGATTTACTCTGTATTTAAAATAAAATATAATCATCAAGATTTTCTTTTAATATGGAATATATGGAAAAAAAGAACGCAATTAAATACACGGAGAGAATCAGAGTTACCAGACGTCCCGGAAATTCTGAATTTTCCAAGTTTTTTTGCAATGTCTCCGGTTTCCGGATTTGAACTCTTCACACTTTACTTATACGTTCTACTTGTTTCATCATTCTAGAGAGTTGTCAATGGCGCAATGCACGTGGAATAACTTCTCCTCTTGGTTTTCTAAAGATTGTTTGGAGAACAATACAACTATGTAGAAAGCGACAGACAATCCAAAAATTGACCGAATTAATGAAGATATAATTTTCAGAATGTACTTACGAAGTCAAATTCAATGATTTTTGGTCATCAGAAGACAAAGACTTCTCTGTTGTTTTTCATTTCAAACTCCAAAACAAATGAAAATTTGTAGTTTGCAGTTATCTTTCCCATCCAATTCTAGACTCCATGAAGATAAAACATCGCATTTTATACAACAGTCATGTCTATTCCGAAAGTGCCTGAAACAGATGAGTCATTGTGAAATGTTTTAGTTACGACGAGAAACATTTTCGAAAAGTAGAATTCGTCATATGTTATTGTGTAATAAAATTTTTTGTGTCTGTCGATATCACGATTCCAAACAACAGTATCTTCATATCGACAATATCCATTGCTGTGAAGGTCGGATTTTTCTCATTTGATTATCGACTACAGAAAACAAGAAGTAATTTGACGTACAACCTCCCGTTCTATGTTAATAATCAGTCTTTAGGTGTCAATGTGAATTTGACTTATACGCCACTCACACTCTTATCCGCGCCCTCGAAAACACAAGTAGCATGTGAAAAAGCTGAACGAGTGCTTCAACAAGTGTCATTTATAGGTGTGACAACACTTCGACGTTTTCGTATCCATTCACGAATTTTCCAAAGCAACCATAAACTGTACCAAACAATTATTTTCAATCCTTCTGTTAATCCACCGTATAAACCAAGAAAAATTGTTAACATATAAACAACACTATTTCTTGTCACATAAGAATATCGACACATCGATGGTGAACATGTCGAATAATAATTCGAATAATTTGTTGTGTTTTGCCAAGATTCAATGAATAATTCATCAATCATTGTACCAATAGTTGTTGAAGAGATCGGGGTGAAGCGACTTTTGATTGAACTATTCAACGGAGATGGATGGTAGGAACTGTTGAAAAAATAAGATAAGTTCGTTAAGCATTGCTGATGATGAAGACATTCAAGTGTTGATAATCGAAGACCAAAAACAGGCAAACAACCAATAACAAGACCTAAATAACAAAATATGAATGGTGCAACAAATCGACAATGAAGAACACACAAACCCGAGAATATTCGTTGCTTTGATACATTGATTAAACGAGTTCGTGCACATGTTGATTGAGAATCACATGAACACAACACTCCGCTTTCATTGACTACTGTCGGATTTCCTCCTATTCGGTACGAATTATCTGCTGTTGGACTTCCTAAATCCCAATTGGTCAAAAATATGTTCTGTAGTTGGTTTCCATGAAGCATATCAATGACAAATTGATGTGTTCTTCGAAAACTCGTTAGTGATTGAACAATGAAAGTGTCAATAATCGACTCAATTTGCTCGTCGAATGATGTCTGTGACAATGTCTCGAGAGTGATCAATTCGTGAGAATATAAATTCTGTAGTTGTTGTTCAATCATATCTTTTGCAAGTAAACACAATGCTGATAAAAGACGAAATTGTGTACTTAAGATTTTACCATCCGTAGTTACAATGTAATATTTTAATACTCTCGAACTCCAAAGCATCGTGATGAAATCAGTTGAAATGAAATCACTTGAACATATTTGATGATATTCATTCACTATAATCGTCACGAATTTCGAATACGAAATTCGAATTTGTGAACATGGACATGAAAGTGTTGATGAATATTGAGTTTGAAGATGATGAAATTGATCTTGTGATGGAAATGATACTGTGATAGAATTGATTTGTGAAGTGAAAGTAATGAAGATGATAATAGTCAAGAGAGAAATGAGAAAGAGTAGAAGATAAACACGAGTGGCTATTCGAGAACGTTGTTCCAACTGATCTTCGGAATGTTGATCACGAGTCTTCTTATATAAATTTAATGTATGAAAATAATTCATAAGACGCCAACACTTTTCATGAACAACTAAAATAAAAACTATTTCAGACATTTTCCAAATTCATCTATAAGTTCTCACCTGTTTTAGTTGTCGATTCTCGTGCAATTTGAAGTGAACGTTGAAAACAGTGAGAATATATTCGTCGAAGTAAAATTACAAATAATGGAATCAAAATTTCTAGAGCAGTAGAGAGACCACCGACAATACCAAATATTGTGGCAATGATAAAAGCTCGATTGAAACGTTGTTCATATGTATAAGTACATTCCTTTGGTGAACATTGAGAATAATATGAAGTGAAATTACTTATATTTGTCCATTTTTCAATAAACAACTCGGAAATAATACTTTCCATTTTCGTATCAGGTCGAAAACGACTGTTGATCATTGGATTAAGAGGAGTGACATTAATGGAACAGGAATTTGAAAGACTAATATTTGATCCAAACGAACGCCATTGTAAAATCATTTGAAGACAAGTTGAATTATAAAAGCATTGAAGTGAAGATGAAAGAAGAGAATCAACTGGTAAACAACTCAACATTAGACCAGGAATGATTTGATTTGGTGGCGACGATTGATTGTAGTTGCATTGATTTGTACAATAGAAACCTTGTGCACGTGTACAAGAACTACTTTCACCACATGAACATTTGCTATCAAAGCCACTGTTTGGTAAATAACGAGATGTTAAAACATTGTTTTGTATAAATTCACGTGGGACAATGTTTGTAAAATCACCAACTACAAACTGATTTCTTTGAATCGAAACACGAACCAGTTGAAACATCGAAAGAAAAGTATTAACGGTCTGCTGTTGAAAACGTTGTATGAGAGTTGAGATTTGGATGTGAAATGTATCTCTTGATATAACATATGCACTCACAAATTGCATTTCATTGAATACAATCAATTCATTTCTCACTATATCATTTGCCATTTGACACATTGTCTGAAGAATTGTAAATAATTTTAATCCTACAGCACGAAAATCAAGAGCTCGAAGGACAGGACCCAGACGTCTGAAATACAATAACCAAACATCACTTTTGATGAAATCACTTGAACACACTTGATGATATTCAGGTTCTACATCAATGATTGACGAATAAGACATCGACAAATGAGAACAGGGACATTTCAGTGTTGATGAATGTTCGTTGTACAAATATTCATATTCATCTAATGATGGTGCAAAAACAGTGACAATTCGAGTTTGAACTGAAATTGATGTGTAGAATATTAGAATGATCATTCCAATCACAAGACAAACAAGATAAAGACGTGTCGAATGAAGTCCATCTTTGATATTGGAAAACATTGGAAACAAATTCAATGTCATCAGTTGCATTTTCATGTGAGAGATTAAACTCATGAGGCGATCCTGAAGATCTTTTTAAGAAGAAAATGAGAATTGAGTTTGAGAAATAGAAAAATTTACTTTGTTGTGAATGTTGCTCAGTTTCATCTGTTTCCGATGTTGTCGAACAACATTTCTTCTTCTGAATTCGTCGAAAGAGTTTGATAATGAACGGTGCACAGAAATACAAAATCATTTTCAAACTACCAAAGATACTGATCAGTGTGACAATGACATAAAGAAGATTAAATCGTCGATCATATGAATATGTACATGACTGAGGTGCACAACTTTCATAATATGCACTGAAGTTTCTCTTTTCATTCCATGATTCGATGAATAAATCATGAGAAAGATCGTTCACAGTTGTATTTTGTGAGAAGTGTGATGATAATAAAAGTGGTGAAACCAATGAAAAAGCTGAAATATGTTTCTGAATTTGATTGATACACAATTGATTGTAAAAACATTCGAGAGTTGATTGAAGTAATGAATTATATGGTAAGCAGCCTACTTTGATACCAGGTATTCTCAGAAGTACTTTTATATAAGGAACAATTGATAATGAGTCACTAGATGAATTATATTTTAATGTAGTTGTTATATGTTGATAAATGATCGCTGGTGCAATGCATTTGATATTTATATTACAAGTACAACTAATATTCCCAAAGAAGTATCGGTTTGAACCAGAATAGAAAACTGTCTCAATTGGTTTTATCACCACATAATTTGTTTGAAGTGCTGAGGAAATTCCATTGTGAAAAATATTTAACTGAAGAAAATCACTTGTATGTTGTTGATCATTAACACTTGTTGTTTTTAATTTTCCAACAAGATAATCCATCTGAGCATCAAACACTTCAATGGATATCACTTCAGTTGTACTTAAATACTGAGAGAAGAATTTCTTCAATGAATCACTTATCATTTGTTGACTGGTCCGACAAAGTAATGCAAGAATTTGAAAATGTGATGATGCACTTACGCGATAGTCTTTGTTATAGTAATTACTTACATTAACATTGGATATAGATGAAATGAATGTTTGATTAATAAATTGACTTGAACATATGGGATGATATTGAGGATGAAACGAAAGAAATCGATCATGTCGAATCGAAGTTTGTGAACATGAACATGATAATGTACTTGGATATTTCTGGATGAGTTGTTCAAAATCACTCTGAGATGGTGAGTAGAGAGTGACAGAAGTGGTTTGAAAAGAACGAAAAAGATTCGTGTGGAAAAGTAATTTATCGACGAGAGACATGTCTTTTTCATCATCAAACAGATTTATCTTGAGAATGTCCATTTTTATTATTTCAAAGAATACAAACTAAAAATTACATGTCTATTTCGAGATTAATATTTCGTTAACGTACAGCTAAAAACAGTCCCAAGACTCGTCTTCATCATTTTATTTAGTAACAATCTCTTATAGCATTTTCTCTTTGAAAAAATTTCGCCTCGACTCGACTGTATCAGTATTAGTGATTTATTTGAAACAAGAAAAGATCATTTTACTGTTGACATTCTTCTCGAATAAATTTATACCTGAAAAAATATGATATTTATCCAAGTCGAAAATCTGATCTTAAGAAAAAGAAGAACAGAATTGAGATTTCTATATTTTATACAACATTTCAATACAATTTGAAACCTTCTTTTTCGTTAAAAAAGAAATTAAAAACGAAACATATTGATCTGTTTAACATATTCATTTTTTCTTCTTTTAACATTAAATAAGAAGAACAAAGAATCCAATCGAACAATTAAAAAATTCATCAAAATTGACACAAGGACGTATTTGAAAGTACCTCTGTTCGTTTGCTGATTTTGATCATGATGATGTTGAGAACTGTGTTTGTCAAAACACTTCTTAAAATTGTCATAGTGTGAATATTCGACGGTTTGTTATTGAATCGATGTGGGTAGCATTTCTATGGTATTTTATTAATTTCTTTTTACTACTTATTCTCATGTTTAATATGTTTTCTCTTTCCTTTACATAGTTTCAATGTTGTTTTTTTTTCTTTCTCGGCCGCACAGATTAAAAAATATTCTCTTGAAATTGCCCACTATGTTACTGAAAAGAGAAAAAATCNTCACTTCAGTTGTACTGAGATACTGAGAGAAGAATTTCTTCAATGAATCACTTATCATTTGTTGACTGGTCCGACAAAGTAATGCAAGAATTTGAAAATGTGATGATGCACTTACGCGATAGTCTTTGTTATAGTAATTACTTACATTAACATTGGATATGGATGAAATGAATGTTTGATTAATAAATTGACTTGAACATATGGGATGATATTGCGGATGAAACGAAAGAAATCGATCATGTCGAATCGAAGTTTGTGAACATGAACATGACAATGTACTTGGATATTTCTGGATGAGTTGTTCAAAATCACTCGGAGATGGCGAGTGGAGAGTGACAGAAGTGGTTTGAAAGGAAAAAGTAGTGAAGAAAATGATGGTGAAGAGGGAAGTGATGAAAAGAAAGAGAAAGATTCGTGTGGAAAGTAGTTGATCGATGAGAGACAAATCTTTTTCATTATCAAACAAATTTATTTTATCAATAAAACTTTTGTATCGCTTGAATTTCTCCATTGGATTTGAAGAATGTCAATTGTTGCTAATTCAAGGAGTATAAATTGGAAAATACATTTCTATTTCGAGATGAACATCTTGTTAACGTACAGCTAAAAACAATCCCAAGAGTCGTCGTCCTCATCATTCTGTTCGGTAACCATCTGTCATATTGTGGGAAGGAAAAGTTTTGCGACGTTTTCTCCTTCTAAAACCATTAATTATAGTGATAAAAAGTGACGTTCGTCTTGATGTATATAGACTGGTAATGATTCTTGTAATGGTTAATTTTTTTCCAAAATAATCATCATAAACTAATAGAGACTATGACCATCATTAGTGTAGCGCTATGATAAGAGCAAAAGAGAGCTTGTGATATTGTTAACTGTGGAAATATAGGATGTCCAGAAAGTCATTGTCCATGTAAAAAAGTGGACAAAACACCCGATGAAAGTCGTTTTTTCCAGAAAATCCATAAAGTCAAATTGTATTCCGAAATTCTGATTAAATGCGAGGAAAAATTAGATCGTTGCCGATTATCTCAGAAATAATCTGTTAAAGTCGATTCTCTTCAAAAGAATCAATTTCTTATTTTCTTTCACACGGATAGATTTGGGAGGAAAATTTCATTATTTTCATAACTCTTCAACCAAATGAATTAAATTTTTTTTTTCGGAAGGTGGAGAACAGGTAGCAGTTTTCGTTCATGACGGAAAAGGTCATTTATGTGGGGATGAACTCGGCACACTTTTTCTCAACACAAGGCCAGTCGGCTCAGCTATGATGAGGATCTGATTATCATTGAAAATAGCTTTAGTATTGTATTATTGTGAATGCTTCAACAACGAAAGACAATTTGGTTCATACTAATAATATTGTATTTGCGTGTCAACTATGTTTTAATTGATAAATAAAGAGAATATTCTCGTACCGTATTGTATTATACCTATGAGCAACGAATGGTTGTGCGTATCTTATTTATATAGTGAATAGAAGTGTGCAGAGATCATCTCTATAAATGGCTTTTTCCGTCATGAATAAGAACCGCTACGTGTTCTACACCCTCGGAAAAAAAATTCAATTCATTTGGTCGAAGAATCATGAAGATATTCAAATTTTCCTGTCAACTCTAGTGACTTACTGGACGCCGTATATGTTTGAGAATATACGGTTCGATAATATCACAATAATAGCTGTTCTTATTCTGATTTACTCTACTTTTTTTGTGATGACAAAAGTAAGGGAATAATCAAATATTCAAAAATCAATCGCGAAAACCGTACAAGTTACAATAAGCTAGTTAAAGAATAAAAAGACCTGTGATTTTGTCAATGTTTATCAATACAATTTAACACTGTTAGAATAATTACCATTACTCGTTCCACCAGTAACTATTACTTTTCCATTGAATAATAAAGATGCTGTATACTCAGATCGTGCACTATTCATATTTGCTACTATGATATGTTCTAAACATGAAAAAGCATAAGAAAGATTCCAGTAAAAATCAAATAATAACTATAAGTCCATAATAATCATACTGACATTTCGGTAATCGTGATTCACTTAAGACTTTCATTGAATAGTTATCTGGATTCGTTAACATATTAAACTTTGAATTCGGTAAATATGAAAACAATTTACAAATCAAAGTTGATTGATAGAAAGTAGCTCCTTCGTGTAATCGAACAAATAAACAGATTATTTGACATTGACGAATATTTCGTTTAGTAGTAATATGAAGTGTTGAACAACTAATATTTGTACATTGAAATTGGTTTTGAAATAAAGTCATTTCTAAAGATTTCATATTATTTGCTACTGTTTGTGTAGTAAAAACCAATACAAAGAGAAGATAAATTTGTCTTTCATGCATAGTTATGGAAAGTATTTTGATGAAAATGGTTTATACTTTGAATAAAATGTAATCAAAATGCTCAAATATTATACTGTACTGTGCAAAATTTTCTTCTCTATTTGCGCATGATGTCACTTTCAACAATTTTTATTTAATGCAAAATTGATTTTTCCAAATTTTTTTGTAAGGACTTTTTTTGTGTAAATCTATTGACTAACACACTTATTCTATTGTTATTATTTTTCCTTGTTCTCCATTGTTACATATGAAAACTAAGGAAATACGTAGATGATATAATTAGAATAGATATGTATCATAGTTTGAATGATAGTTATTCGTTCTGTTTGGTATTCAAGAGAGTCCATGACAAGAGAAGCCCGCAGTGACGACGAAAAAATATTTATCCGAATTTTAATTTTCAAAGTGAAAGGTCTCATTCAACTATGAACAAATCCAAAATATTAGGTCATTTGGATTTATGTACAAAAAATGACAGGAAAAATAATTTTGGAGTTTTTTTTTGCCTTTGAAAAATCAATGAAGATAGGTGTGCTCATTATTCTGGCGTTATCACACGATTGGTTTAACCATATGAGGCCTAGAACGTCTAATTCGAGAGCGCTTATATGATGCAAAAACAATTTTCAAATAGATGAATAGATTTCAGATTTAGGATCAGCACGCAAAACTGCACTAACCAGGTCGACAAATCCGATCAGATTACTGGTGCGGATCTGCATTATATTCCGACAGCAAAATCCAATATTGGGAATGGTCGAGCTGGGTAGTAATAACCGTGCCTAATTATCCAATGAACGATGATCTAGTAAGAAGACTAAATTTTGGCTACTATTTCTCCAAGTTGAAAGAAGGTGCAATGTGAAGAAAATAAAATCTGTTTGTTTGTGTCCTTGCGAAGTCAAAGATCAAGTTCATAATCACCGACACTAATGTCCTCACCTTTCCTATACTAAATCGGTGTTCTTGGGTCCTCACACACTACGATGTGAACGCGTATATTGATTCGTGTATATGCTGCGTGAATCTATCGATTGAAATATTGCAAAAGACATGGTTATTTGTGATACTAACGCGAAAAAAAATAGATTTCATCTGAAAGGTATATGCGTCTATAGAAAACTTCGCTCATTCATAGGTCAATATGTAAATAAACAATCATGTGCTTTTGCATGGTGCATTATCAATCATAATGTGTCAAATTGTACAATGTGTCTACCATGAGAACCATCAAATCATTTCAACAATACATTTGCAGTCTGTATTGACACTAAACTTAATCGTTTGTTGATAACTTGGCAGTGCATTCAACAATTTACGAATGTTATTTATTTGTAAGTCTAATTAACAATGTGACATCGAAAACTGAATCGGGTAACAATCGATATTGAGAAAATCTTCTCCAACTTACCTACTTAGATATTTCAATGCGCTTGTCGGATCGATCAACTAGATTTTTCCTGTAAACAAATCGTTGAATATGTTTATTTCGATACAGAAGGTTATAAATCTGGTCGTTGTCGAAATTTACAAAACAAAATAAGCGAGACAATTGAAAAAGGAAGAAATATTGCTGAGATAATTAATAAAATAAACGAATAATATGTCGTTGGTCGATACCAAGTCACTTCAGACAAATTCTTTGTATTATACCAACATGGATAAACCGAATTGACCTTAAGAAAGAAAAAAAAAACAAAAGAAGCGTATTAGAAANTCAAAATCACTCTGAGATGGTGAGTGGAGAGTGACAGTAGTGGTTTGAAAGGAAAAAGTAGTGAAGAAAATGATGGTGAAGAGGGAAGTGATGAAAAGAAAGAGAAAGATTCGTGTGGAAAGTAGTTGATCGATGAGAGACAAATCTTTTTCATTATCAAACAAATTTATTTTATCAACAAAATTTTTGTATCGCCTGAATTTCTTCATTGGATTTGAAGAATGTCAATTGTTGCTAATGCAAGGAGTATAAATTGGAAAATACATTTCTATTTTGAGATGAACATCTTGTTAACGTACAGCTAAAAACAATCCCAAGAGTCGTCGCCCTCATCATTCTGTTCGGTAACCATCTGTCATATTGTGGGAAGGAAAAGTTTTGCGACGTTTTCTCCTTCTAGAACCATTAATTATAGTGATAAAAAGTGACGTTCGTCTTGATGTTTATAGACTGGTAATGATTCTTGTAAGGGTTAATTTTTTCCAAAATAATCATCATAAACTAATAGAGACTGGGCATCATCAGTGTAGTGCTATGATAAGAACAAGAGAAAGCTTGTGATATTGTTAACTGTGGAAATATAGGGTGTCTAGAAAGTCACTGCCCATGTAAAAAAGTGGACAAAACACCCGATGAAAGTCGATTTTTCCATCAAATCCATAAAATCAAATTGTATCCCGAAATTCTGATTAAATGCGAGGAGAAAATAGATCATTGCTGATTATCTCAGAAATAATCTGTTAAAGTCGATTCTCTCCGAAAGAATCAATTTCTTGTTTTCTTTCACATGGATAGATTTGGGAGGAAAATTTCATTATTTTCATAACTCTTCAACCAAATGAATTTAATTTTTTTTGTCGGAAGGTGGAGAACAGGTAGCAGTTTTCGTTCATGACGGAAAAGGTCATTTATGTGAGGATGAACCTGGCACACTTTTTCTCAGCACAAGGCCAGTCGGTTCGGCTATGATGAGGATCTGATTATCATTGAAAATAGCTTTAGTATTGTGTTATCGTGAATGCTTCAACAACGAAAGACAATTTGATTCATACTAATAATATTGTATTGCGTGTCAACTATATTTCAATTGATAAATAAAGAAAGTATTCTCGTACCGTATTGCATTATACCTATGAGTAACGAATGGTTGTGCGTACCTTATTTATATAGCGCATAGAAGTGTGCAGAGATCGCCCCTATAAATGGCCTTTTCCGTCATGAATAAGAACTGCTATGTGTTCTCCACCATCTGAGAAAAAATTCAATTCATTTGGTTGAAGAATCATGAAGATATTCAAATTTTTCTGCCAACTCTAGTGACTTACTGGACGCCGTATATGTTTGAGAATATGGGCTCAATAATAGCTGTTCTTATTCTGATTTATTCTACTTTTTTGTGATGACAAAGATGCTGTATGCTCAGATATAAGTCCATAACAATCATACTGACATTTGAATTTTAGTAAATATGAAAACAATTTACAAATCAAAGTTGATTGATAGAAAGTAGTTCCTTCGCATAATCGAAGAGATAACAAATTATTTGACATTGACGAATATTTCGCTTAGTAGGAATATGAAATGCTGAACAACTAATATGTGCACATTGAAATTGGTTTTGGGGAAATAAAAAGTCATTTCTAAAAATGTCATGTTATTTGTTACTGTTTGTGTAGTAAAAACAAGTATAAAGAGAAGATAAATTTGTCTTTCATACATAATTATGGAAAGTATTTTGATGAAAATGGTCTGTGCAAACTTTTCTTCTCTGTTTGCGCATGATATCACTTTCAACAATTTTTATTTAATGCAGAAATTGAGTTTTCCACACTTATTCTATTGTTATTCTTTTTCTTTGTTCTCCATTGTTACATACGAAAACTAAGGAAATACGTAGATGACATAATTAGAATAGATATATATCATAGTTTGAATGATAGTTATTCGTTATTTATACTTTCGTACTCCTTCTTCATGTTTGGTATTTAAGAGAATCCATGACAAGAGACCTCTATAATGCCGACGAAAAAATATTTATTCAAATTTTATTTTTCAAAGTGAAAGGCCTCATTGAACTATAAACAAATCCAAAATATTAGGTCATTTGGATTTATGTACAAAAAATGACAGGAAAAATAATTTTGGGAGCCATTTTTGCTTTTGAAAAATCAATGAAAATAGGTATGCTCAGTATTCTGACGTTATCTCACGATTGGTTTAACCATATCACAGGCCTAGAACGTCTCATTCGAGAGCGCTTATATGATACAGAAACAAATTTCAAATAGAAGAATAGATTTCAGATTTACGATCAACACGCAAAACTGTACTACTCAGGCCGACAAATCCGATCAGATTACTGGTGACGGATCTGCATTAGATTCCGACAGCAAAATCCAATATTGAGAATGGTCGAGCTGGGTAGTAATAACCGTGCCTAGTTATCCAATGAACGATGATCTAGGAAGAAGACTAGATTATTGCTATTATCTCTCCGACTTGAAAGAGGATGTAAAGTGAAGAAAGTAAAAATCTGTTTGTTTGTGTTCTTGCGAAGTCAAAAATCAAGTTCATAATCACCGACACTAATGTCCTCACCTTTCCTGTACTATATCGATGTTCTTGGGTCCTCATACACTACGATGTGGACACGTACATTGATTCGTGTATATGCTGCATGAATGTGTCGATTGAAATATTGCAAAAGACATGGTTATTTGTGAAACGAACGCGAAAGAAAATAGATTTCGCCTGAAATGTATATGCGTCTATAGAAAACTTCGCTCATTCATAGGTCAATGCGTAAATAAACAATCACGTGCGTTTGCATGGTGCATTATCAACCATAATGTGTCCAATTGTACAATGTTTCTGTCATGAGAACCATTAAATCGTTTCAAAAATACATTTGCAGTCTGTATTGACGCTAAACTTAATCGTTTGTTGATAACTTGCGGCAGTGCATTCAACAATTTACGAATGTTATTTATTTGTAAGTCTAATTAACAATCGATTTTGAGAAAATCTTCTCCAACTTAGCTATTTAGATGTTTCAATGTGCTTGTCGGATAGATCAACTAGATGTTTACTGTAAACAAATCGTTGAATATGTTTATTTCGATACAGAAGATTATAAATCTGGTCGTTGTCGAAATTTACAAAATAAAATAAGCGAAACAATTGAAAAAGGAAGAAATATTGCTGAGATAATTAATAAAATAAACGAATAATATGTCGTTGGTCGATACCAAGTCACTTCAGACAAATTCTTTGTATTATACCAACATGAATAAACCGAATTGACCTTAAGAAAGAAAAAGAACAAAAGAAGTGTATTAGAAAAGCGAATGGAAGGAGACAAACTTGAAATCGATCTTGTTGTTTCAGAACATGTTCAACAACAAATTCAGCATTTCCTCTAATATTGTATAAAAGTGTTTGATTTTGTCCGATTTGAATATTCCAAATGGGTACATAACATTTGGAATACATTGTTTTTCTACCTGAATCTCGAATACATTTGCTATTTGACTCATATGTTGCTGATTTCACTTGACATGAATCTTCCTTATACGATTTCACTTTGAAATATTGATCGAAAAATAGAGAAAGGCCAACAGCAAAACAAACGATTGTTATTCCACAAAAGACACATGTTAAAATAAGAAGAATTTTTGATAAACGACTTTTCGAGTCACTTTCGACCATTTTTTGTTTTCAAATAAAAATGGAAAACCTGTTGAAAAGGAAAAAAATCTATTCGTAACGAAATCAATTTTACCTCAAAGAAAAGAGAACGAATCTCGTCAAGGTTGATTATAAAAAAAGAAAATGCGAACATGACATATGTTTATGCAATTACATTTCTATTACGAGCGCCATCTTGTGATGTTGAAATCATAATACAAGACGAAATATGCTGATTCATGAAATTCTAAATATACAAGAGATATTGCATGTGGATTTGATCAAGGGTTGTGACCATACTGTTAATCGTCAACTATTTCTCTCTCTCTCTCTCTATAAAAATGGTCTTCTCACGTGTTTCATCGTTGTAGTTCTATGTCATTACTGTAGATTAGACAGTGCAGTGTGGTAATCATTGTCTTGTATTGTTAGTGGTTACAATCTGATTGAACTAATAAACTCACCGGTATGTTGTTAAATGTACATAAGCGAATTTATTTCGGCTAAACACAATTCTCTAATCGTTTTTATATTCAAACAAAGAAGAAGAAAGAGAACAGAAATCGATTATATTTCTTACTCTGTTCATATACTCTTCACACGACACTACGAGACTTTCATCACTAGATATACTATGAGGATCGGATGTGAGATTTAATTATTGAGATAATCGAGGAGAAAATTCATGATTAATTCAAACAAAGCCGATCTCACTTTAATTTTCATCCTTATGTTTAAATACACTGAAGTTGCTCAAATCAGTCACCTCATAATTTTCGCTGTTTTTTTAGTCTGAACATAATTGAAGATAACGCTAAGAAATCACCAATTCGAAAGCCACTGGTTTTAACGGATGATTTTGATATAAAAAAAATCGACGTCATGGGTACGCTCGTCGCTCGTTTGATTTTCTATTGAATGAAACGTTTTGTTAAAAAGATTCTCTTCATTTATGAATAAAATTATAACGGTTTTCACAACGAAAACATGCAACGTAATTTGTAGATAATTGGCCGAAATTGACATTTGTAAAACGAGAGANACATTTGCTTATTGATTCATATGTTGCTGATTTCATTTGACATGAATCTCCCTTATAAGATTTTACTTCGAATTATTGATCGAAAAATAGAGAAATGCCAACAGCAAAACAAACAATTGTTATTCCACAAAAGACACATGTTAAAATAAGAAGAATTTTTGATAAACGACTTTTCGATTCACTTTCGACCATTTTTTTGTTTTCAAATGAAAATGAAAAACATATTGAAAAGGAAAAAAATCTATTCGTAACGAAATCAATTTTACCTCAAAGAAAAAAGAACGAATCTTGTCAAGGTTGATTATACAAAAAGAAAATGCGAACATGACATATGTTTATGCAATTACATTTCTATTACGAACGCCATCTTGTGATATTAAAATCATAATACAAGATGAAATATGCTGATTCATGAAATTCTAAATGTACAAGAGATATTGCATGTGGATTTGATCAAGGGGTGTGACCGTACTATTATTAATCGTCATCTATTTCTTTCTCTATAGATGATCTTCTCATGTATTTCTTACTAAATAGATAAGTGTTTTTTATCGTTGTAGTTCTATATCATTACTGTAGATTAGACAATACAGTGTGGTAATCATTGTATTGATAGTGGTTACAATTTGATTGAACAACTAAATTCACTGGTATGTTGTTAAATATGCATAAACGAATTTATTTCGGCTAAACACAATTCTCTAATCATTTTTATATTCAAACAAAGAAGAAGAAAGAGAATAGAAATCGATTATATTTATTACTCTATTCATATACTCTTCACACGATACTACGAAGCTTTCATCACTAGAATTCAACATATTCTATTTTGAATTTTATCAGAACGAGTTTCTACTGCTATTAATACAATCACATCTCCTTGGTTTTCATCAACTTGAGCAACTGTCGGTGTAAAATCGATAGTCAAATTTCACGTAGTGCGTATCAACAAATCCATGTATTGTTTTAAGATATATAAGCTAAATAAGTTTTTTTTCTAAAATCGACAGAAAAAAGAAAACAAGCTAATTCGGCGAACATTTTGATATACTATGAGAATCATATGTGAGATTTCGTTATTGAGACAATTGAGGAACATTGATGATTTATTCAAACAAAGCTGATCTCATTTTGATTTTCATCCTTATGTTTGTAAATACACTGAAGTTGCTCAAATCAGTCACCTCATAGTTTTCGCTGTTTTTTTAGTCTGGACATAATGGAAGATAACGCTAAGAAATCACCAATTCGAAAAACACTGGTTTTAACGGATGATTTTGATATAAAAAAAATCGACGTCATGGGTACGCTCGTCGCTCGTTTGATTTTCTATTGAATGAAACGTTTTGTTAAAAAGATTCTCTTCATTTATGAATAAAACTATGACGGTTTTCACAACGAAAACATGTAACGTAATTTGTAGATAATTGGTCGAAATTGACATTTGTAAAACGAGAGAAAAGCATCGAATTGTTTTGTTATTGATTTGTCACAATGCAGAATGAAAATGTATTTTAATCAAAAGAAAAAAAAAGATCGGTTAGTAGTCAAATTGTGAAAATGAATTTTGTCCGAAAAGAAAAGGATCATTTGGGAAAAGTTCAAATTTGTTTTTGAGTAAATCCATTTTCACACATGAGGGTTATAAAGGGAAAATTCTAAAAAAAAAGATTTTCTTGTTTTAAGAAATCTTCAAATGAACTTGCGCATGTTTCAACACGCTTCTCCATAGTTCATTGATTGTGTTTTGGTTTGTTGACCTTGTGAAGCGATCGATGGTGGTTTAACAGAACGAGATCGACCTGAAAATTTATTAAAACTTTCTCCCGCTGAATCACTTGTTTGAATTGAACTATTTCGTTCTTGAGATCGAGATTTTTTCACTGTACCTTTCAGTTAAAAATCAAAAGTTCTTTCTTTTTCTCCAAGAAAAATCTTGAATTTACTTAATGAACGACGAGAAGAACGTACAGATTGTCCCGAACTTTGTAATTTAGAACTTTCTACTTGTGTTCGGAGAGGAACTTCCACGACAAGAACATTATCTAACGTGACATGTGAATTGACCTTTGTAATATCTAAATGAACAAAGAATTTTCCAATGAAAAGTAGGAGAATTTATTTTACCAGCTTGTTTTGGAACTTCATAACTTTTTCTAAATTGTCGAATATAAAAATCTCCATCATCTTGTCGATCTTCTTGATTTGCTTCGACAACAATTTTTCCTCCTTCAACTTTAGCTTTTATCGTTTCTCGATCGAATCCATCGACACTCAAATGAATACAAAATTTATCCGCACCTATCGTTTTTGTTTTCGTCGTCGTCGTCGTCGCTGTTTTCGAACTTTTCTTTGTCAAATTCGTTGCAGCTGATATCATCGATCCTGCTTTCGATTGAGGTGGGATCGATGCAATGGTCGTTGGCGATGGTGGTGATGATACTGGTGTTGCTCCTGACTTAACACTCTTTTCATAATTCGTTGCGGTTTTCGCTGCTGCTGCTCCTGTTGGTGGCTTCATTGATTTACATTGTAAAATATTTGTTCGAAAACAAATTGTTTGGGGAATAATATTGACGCAATCTGCAGGATCAAAGAAATCGAGTTTTACACAAGGATTGTCACAAATTGAATAGGCAACGAGTTGACACAGAGCCATGATGAATTTGTGGTTTTGAAAGTTAATTGCAAATCAGTGGTTGATGATGAAGAAATATTTGGTTTTGAAGGAAAGAAGACATGTTTATATATCGATGTGTTTCATTTACGTCAAGAGTTAGTCAAGTGTAACTTGGTTTCAAAAAAATTTCACAAATCATTGTTTGTTTTGTCGATGAGGAATTGGCTTTTTTCATTGAAATGTCAAGGACGAGAAGAAAATACAATAGGAATAAATTTGTTTTTTTTTTCGAAATCAATGCAAGTGTTGCATTTTAATATCGCGCTTCATTATCGAACACCGCAGACTCGTATTTTTTGTATGAAAAGAAAGAGTAGGTGGAGAAATTATTAACAATTTGTTTCATATACAAAACATATCTCGTTTTTATTTCAATTGATGACTTTATTTACAATTGCTTGAAATATTTGAGCAAAACCCTCGAATTTTTTCATATTTTTCTCCTCAATATCAAAAAATCGTCCGAGAATTCGAGTAAACAAACCACCATACGATTCGCATAGTTGATTTCAATGGTGAAATATTCATTTCAAGGCGAAACAGAGTTAAGCAAGTTTCAACGAAGTCAGGTACTTTGGAAATATCAGTCAAAAAGGTCAGCCGAACTATTTTGCATTTGTAATGATTAACTTTTCAAATTAATTGAAACAAATGAGCATATCATTGAAATACTATTATTTAATATTTTATCAAAATAATTATCTTATCGACACGACGATATCATTGTCATTTAAATTCATCTACAAACCTTCGCCTATGTCTGATATGATCAAATCTGTCCGCAATACCATCGATTATAGATGAACAAAACGTGGATATGTACATATTTCTTTTCAACTACGAATCATCAAAACTTTCGAATTCCATTGCGACTATTGTTTGCATGGATTTCAAGCGAAAGAATTCTTAATGCACTAATTGAATGTAAATAATTAGTGAAACGAATTCTTTGAATTGTAATTATTTTGACATGATCTCTTTTACCCAAATCGAATTGTATCTTGAAAGATAAAAAAAAAGAAATTGTTACAAAGCTTCAATACCGGTGAAAATTCATCGAAGAGTAACCTAAAGATAAATTGTCTCTACGCTGCTATGTCCGCACTTCACTCATTACTTATGTTTTCAATAAATATTTTGTTGATCATCCCAAAAATAATCATTAAGAGAATAAGCGAAACCAAGTCTTTAAACAAATGTCATTTATAGGTGAGAATCACTTCGACGTTTTCGTATCCATTCACGAATTTTCCAAAGCAACCACAAAATGTACCAAACAATAATTTTCAATCCTTATGTCAATCCCCCATATAAACAACACTATTTCTTGTCACATAAGAATATCGACACATCGATGGTGCACGTGTCGAATAATAGTTCGAATAACTTCTTGCTTTTGGTTAGAATAGATCGTGTACATGTTGATTGAGTATCACATGAACACAACACTCCGCTCTCATTGACTACTGTCGGATTTTCTCCTATTCGATACGAATTATCTACTGTTGGACTTCCTAAATCCCAATTGGTCAAAAATATGTTCTGTAGTTGATTTCTATGAAGCATATCAATGATAAATTGATGTGTTCTTCGACAACTCGTTAGTGATTGAACAATGAAAATGTTGATGTATATTGAGTTTGAAGATGATGAAATTGATCTTCTGATGGAAATGATACTGTGATAGAATTGCTTTGTTAAGTGAAAGTAATGAATATGATATACTAGTCAAGAGAGAAATGAGAAAAGCGGGAGATAAACACGGGTGGCTATTCGAGAACGTTATTCATTGGGTGAGGGTGTGGGTGGATGTAAGATCCGCGGTCAATGTGCACACTCCTCATATCCTCTATATGGTTATGTATTAAATGCTCGTCATTAAAACTTCTCTACTCATCGATGCTTTTAAATCACTTTCATTTGGGGCTATACATACAAGTTCAGATTGTAAGTTATACTAGCTTAACTAATAATATAAAAATGACAATCATGTTCCAACAGTCGACATCTGCGGTGTAATTTTCTTTCTCCATTTTCGAATTATCCATCTAATAAATTTCACTAGTCTTGGCACCACAATTTTCAAAACAGTGATTAAACCACCAACGAGTCCAAATAATGCTGTAATAATATAAACTATACCATTCTTTGTCTCATGAATATAAGTACACTCTATCGGTTGACATTCATTATAATAGCTTTCATAACTCCATGACGGGTTCCATTCTTCAATCATTAGCTGATCAAGCAGCTCTTTTATTGTTGATTTGACAGAGTATCTAGTTTTTGATGATGAATCAAGAGCTGTCATGTTCACTGTTGAAGAAATATTTAAATATGATCGAAGATTATTTATACATATTTGATCATAAAAACATTCAAGAGTCGATTGAAGAAGTGCTTCAATAGTATAGCATCCACGATATAATCCGGATACGTTGGACAGAACATGTGCATCTGGAGTAGAAACTGAAACCTGTTCGGTACATTTTGCTGAAGAATAACAATCACATTCAGAGTACATTACAGGAACTGAACCAACGTGCGTTGCATTATCTAATAGAGACAATCTATAATTTGTTTGTCGTGCGGAATATAAAACATTAGTGTGGGTTATACTTTGTACTAGATCAAGCGAACGAATAAAATTCTTTGTTATTGATGAATTGAATTGGCGAATAAATGTTTGAATTTGTGATTGAAATAAGTTCTCAGGTGTAACGGTTGTACTGATATATTGATTCAATCGGAACTGAAACAAGCCATCAGAGATTGTTCGATTGGCTAACTGACAGAAGACACTTAATGCTTGAAATAGAAATGGAACTGATTGTCGAGAATCACTGATAGAGCCATTGCTTATATTATTGGACGTATTGTATAGGTACATAAACCATTGTTCACTTGTCAAAAAACTAGTGCATACTTGATGTAATGTATAGTTAATATTAAGAATTGTTTCATAACTAATTAGGATAGTATCACATGGACATGTAAGTGTTATAGGGTGTGTTTCATATAATTGTTCATATTCCTCGAAAGTAGGCTTTGTAATGCTATCTGTTTTGATGACAGTAATTAATGAATTGTATAAGAGAAGAATTACTAACGATAGAGCTAGTAGAAGGATAAATAATCTTGTTGAAATTCGTTCATTTTTAAGATGATGCTCATTGACTGATGGTGGAATAGATTGGAATAAATTTAAGTTTGTAATAATCTTCGCCGATTTTATCAATACAGCACGAATTAGCCGAGTGTTCATTATCACTAAGAATAAGAGATAGAAATATGAGTTAATGGTGCGGGTGTGACTAAAGAATACACCTACACTCACACTCTCATTCTCATTGACATCTGAGTATAGCTAACTTCAGAATATGAGTGAATAAGTGTGCGCGAAGAGTAATGAAAATGATACTCATATCCTCCGCGAAGTCAGGTGCCTTCATAAAATCAGAAATTGACTATTTGTATTTATTTCTCGGCGATTAGCGAAGTCGAAGCCAAAAGTAACAATATCAGCCTATCTACATTCGAGTTGATGGAAACGCTCTTTCAGAAACTCAAAACAATTATCAATTAATAAAAATCTGGGATTATTCTTGTTGTTTCTCATTAACTCAGAAATACCTCTTTTTTCAGAATAGTTTTGAATAAAATAGTGCCAAGTGCAAGTTATTGTCTACAATAAATACAAAAGATATGATAACAGTGTTAAAACGTTTTAAATAGGATACGGAAACAAATAGTGTGCGCCAATATTGAAATATGATGATAACTAAAAGCATCTAAAGTCAGGTTTTTTCGAAGAAAATGTACTATTTTCAGAAAAAGAAAAGCCTACGCAAGTAAAATATTCTCTTGTAGTATAGCCATTTTAAAAATTAGGGCATTATACTGAAACTGTACTGTTATTTATTAAATTATTTTAAATAGCACCTTTCACTGACAAAACATTTCAGCAATCAATTCAGAAAAAGTAGAGATAATTATAAAATATTTTGGGAATGATTTCATAAGAGTTGACGAGAATAAAAATATTGCATTCATCTTTTTCATTTTTACTTTGACATTTATTCAAAAGAGGAAGAACGACCTTTAGAAATTTATCATGGAGACAATCGGCTATTATTCTGGTCACATTCATGTTTACCCTCATATAGAGAGGAAAGTATGGAATTTTGTTTCGATCACGAGAAAAATGAAAATAATTAACTTTCAATAAGAAATATAAGACTCGAGTTTAATAATGAATACGCTTTAGAATGCCAAGATATGTGAGATAGAATCTAATCTCGTAATAATCAACTTATTATAGAAGTTTTTATGACTGATATACAGAGCAACAGATCCAAATTTATTCGACGAACTCAATTCATAAATATTCACAGGATGAAACGCATATACAGTTCTCAAATTCTATGTTTTCACATCAAATAACAATTTCAATCTGATAATATTTTATTTAAAACTAATATTGGAAAAGGAAATATGTTAATTATTTTTGTTGCTTGTGCTCTATATTGAAACAAGTATATAGATAAAAATTAATTACTTCATAGGAGAAAAATTAAAACTTTGTTCTTCTAATTAACTAAACAATTCACTGAAGTAATGTCAGGTATACTTAAATTCGTAGATCTGAAAATTTTATATTAAGATTAACTATGAGTGTAAATGTTTATGTTTTAGAAAAGAGAATAAATCTGGTAAGATTAGATAAAGTATTCATGTAAATAGTTCAGTTTTTTTTCTGAGTATGATACTGTTGATTTAAAGCATTTTAACCTATTTTAGATCGTGAAAGTAACACAGATTCAACAAAACAAAACTATGAATAACAACAGAATAAGAATTTATCATGTAAATTATTGAAAAGAAGGCAAAATAATTCTTGTTTTTTTTCCGCTTTCGATTATTTTAGTCTGAATTAATTAACCAAAACTCAACAGAGCCTAGAAGTTTGTATGTATTGATGTGAATGATATTTAATGATAAAAATAATCTATTATTTTGTAGATGTGAATGTTTTCGAAAAAGAAAATTAGCATGGATGATATTTTTAATTATTATTATTATGATTGTTTCAATAATAGTTATTGTAATAATTATCCAGAAAACAAAAATGAATCAAAATGATAATATATCGACGGCCGAAGAACAAACGACAGTATTGATAACAGAAGATTTAACAATTGGAGTAACAACGACAGAAGGTAATTAGTAAACGTAAATATCTCTTAGTTCGCGTAATCTATGAATGATAGAACCTTATATGGTGAATTAGTGAAGTAGTGTATCATAAAAAATTGTTCGGTTAGTGAATTTTATAGTTATACTTCACCAAAGGCAGTAAATTAGTATTCTTGCGAAATTTCCATCAATTCTCACACTTTTAACTTTCATTTTTGGTGGACAACTAGAGTTCAGTAGGAACTACCCGGACACACAAAATTAAAACATCCTATTAATAAGATCTCAGAGAGGCTGAGAACGATACGAAGAATTGCCAGGAGCTATCATGACCGATACCTCCGCTCCGATCTAGATCGAGATCATGCGTCCTTTGTAAATATAACAGATTCGCCCACACCCTTGATAAAGTAGAAAATAGTATTAAGATTTATCATAATAACATTTACATTCGTCAGATGATGTTATCCATTTCATGTCAAAAAAAGTTTATTTAAATCTATTCTATTATCTTATAGAACAATTACGTCCTCCTCGGATTATTGATAGTAATACTACATGGGTAAAGGCTGGTACCACTATTGCCGGATTACTCCCATCTGGACCTGGAGTACAGCAACTGGATCGTCCTTATGGTATCTATATTGATAATACAGATCAGAGTATTTATATTGCTGACTATGGAAATCATCGTATTGTTAGATGGAAAACTGGTGCCACGAGTGGTGTAATCGTTGCAGGCAATAATGACTTCAGAAACCAAATGGAGCAATTACATAATCCAACAGATGTGCTGCTTGATAAAGACAAGAATTTTCTGATCATCTGTGATTCTGCCTACCAGCGAGTAGTTCGATGGTCTCGTCGGGATAATCAAATTCAAAAAACGCTGATTTCTAAAATTGGCTGTTTTTCTCTAGTAATGGATAATAACGGAGATCTTTATGTTTCTGATATAAAAAACCATGAAGTAAGAAGATGGAAACAAGGAGAGGCGGACGGAAAAATAGTAGCAGGTGGAAAGGGAAAAGGAAAACAAGCCGATCAACTCAATACTCCCTATTCTATTTTCGTCGATCAAGACTATTCAGTTTATGTAGCAGATTTTGTAAATTCCCGTGTGATGAAATGGATGAAAGATGCGAAAAATGGAACTATTGTTGCTTGTGGACCCCATCAAACTAATAGTGATAATCAAGAGCACCGCCCTTGGGGCGTAGTTGTTGATCATCAAGGGAATATTTACGTGTCGGATGTAGANACAATTTGTTTCATATACAAAACATATCTCGTTTTTATTTCAATTGATGACTTTATTTACAATTGCTTGAAATATTTGAGCAAAACCCTCGAACTTCTTCATATTTTTCTCTTCAATATTAAAAAATCGTCCGAGAATTTGAGTAAACAAACCACCATACGATTCGCATAGTTGATTTCAACGGCGAAATATTCATTTCAAGGCGAAACAGAGTTAAGCAAGTTTCAACGAAGTCAGGTACTTTGGAAATATCAGTCAAAAAGGTCAGCCGAACTATTTTGCATTTGTAATGATTAACTTTCCAAATTAATTGAAACAAATGAGCATATCATTGAAATACTATTATTTAATATTTTATCAAAATAATTATCTTATCGACACGACGATATCATTGTCATTTAAATTCTTGAGGGTGCGTGTGGGTGAGGGTGGATGTAAGATCCGCGGTCTATGTGCACACTCCTCATATCCTCAATATGGTTATGTATTAAATGTTCGTCATTAAAACTTCTCTACTCATCGATGCTTTTAAATCACTTTCATTTGGGGCTATAGATACAAGTTCAGATTGTAAGTTATACTAGCGTAACTAATAATATAAAAATGACAATCATGTTCCAACAGTCGACATCTGCGGTGTAATTTTCTTTCTCCATTTTCGAATAATCCATCTAATAAATTTCACTAGTCTTGGCACCACAATTTTCAAAACAGTGATTAAACCACCAACGAGTCCAAATAGTGCTGTAATAATATAAACTATACCATTCTTTGTCTCATGAATATAAGTACACTCTATCGGTTGACATTCATTATAGTAGTTTTCATAGCTCCATGACGGATTCCATTCTTCAATCATTAGCTGATCAAGAAGCTCTTTTATTGTTGATTTGACAGAGTATCTAGTCTTTGATGATGAATCAAGAGCTATCATACTCACATTTAGATTATTATAATAAATATACCGGATTGTAGCTATACATGTTTTATTATAAAAACATTCAAGAGTCGATTGAAGAAGTGCTTCGATAATGTAGCATCCATAATACAACCCCGGTATATAAAACGGCACGTGTCCATATTTATTAATAATTGAAAGCGGTTCGACACACGTTGGTGAAATGTGGCAATCACATTCGGAATGAATGCATGAATTCATGTATAGTTGTGTAGTGCCACTCGCCATATAAAAGTCATAATTCGTCATTAGTGCAGAGTGTAAGCCATTGATTTGAGTTGTATTTTTTATTAGATCAAGCGAACGAACAAAATCGTTGATGATGGATGAATTGAATTGGCGAACAGATGTTTGAATTTGTGATTGAAATAAGTTCTCAGGTGTAACAGTTGTACTAACATACTGATTTGATAAGAATTGAGTTAATCTTTCAGAAACTGTTCGATTAGTCAATTGACAAAATGCATATAATGCCTGAAATGTAAATATACTTAGCTCTTGAAAGTTTTTCCGAGGTCCCTCAAAACGCCTATAAGAATTTGCTAGAAAGTAAAGCCATTGTTCACTTGTCAAAAAACTAGTGCATACTTGATGTAACGTGTAGTTAATATTAAGAATTGTTTCATAACTAATTAGGATAGTTTCACATGGACATGTAAGTGTTATAGGGTGTGTTTCATATAATTGTTCATATTGCTCGAAAGTAGGTTTTGTAATGCTATCTGTTCTGATGACAGTAACTAATGAATTGTATAAGAGAAAAAATCCTGATAATAGAACTAAGAGAAGCATAAATAATCTTGTTGAAATTAGTTCATGTTGCAGATCACATTCATTGATTGAAGGCGGTATTGATGGGAAAAGATTGAGAGTTCGAATGTTGTGAAGTATTCTACACCATAACCTTGAAACTGGCGTGTTTTCATCGAACTCTTAAATATAAGAAATATAGCGGATGTTAAATTCTCAATTATACATAATTTAGTGGCAGCTCAGCTTTATTTCTATGTCCTATAGAATAGCCATTTAAAAAAATACGAATTTGATACGAGGAACACATTCATCTCACACTGATACTAAAATCCTCTGCTTACTAAATACTCGTTAATTTCAGTATCTTATATATAAAATTCCTATAGACTTCTCATGGATTACAAGTAATTGGGCTGCATATCTATCTGAATAATTTGAGGATCCGAGCACAGGCACAAGAATATCAGGATTAAGTCACATTTTCACCCGCATTCCTCTATGATGATCACCGATACTCAAATTTCTCTTACTATTTTCTGATGTTTCCAATTCTTTTTTTCTTCTTAGAAATTTCACAAGCAATGGTACCACAATTTTCAAAACAGTGATTAAACCACCAACGAGTCCAAATAATGCTGTAATAATATAAACTATACCATTCTTCGTCTCATGAATATAAGTACACTCTATCGGTTGACATTCATTATAGTAGTTTTCGTAGCTCCATGATGGATTCCATTCTTCAATCATTAGCTGATCAAGCAGTTCTTTTATTGTTGATTTGACAGAGTATCTAGTTTTTGATGATGAATCAAGAGCTGTCATATTCATTGTTGAAGAAATATTTAAATATAATCGAAGATTATTTATACATATTTGATCATAAAAGCATTCAAGAGACGATTGAAGAAGTGCCTCAATAATATAGCATCCACGATATAATCCAGGTATACGAAACAAGACTTCTTTAGCTGAATTGTAAATAGAAAACGGTTCCATACATGTTGGCGAAGTATGGCAGCGACATTTAGTGTAATTTCTTGATGTATAATATCCCCGAATACTGTTGGATGGTATTTCAAGATCATAATTTGTCATTAGTGCAGAGTGTAAGCCATTGATTTGAGTTGTATTTTTTATTAGATCAAGCAAACGAACGAAATTATTGATGATGGATGAATTGAATTGGCGAACAGATGTTTGAATTTGTGATTGAAATAAGTTCTCAGGTGTAACAGTTGTACTAACATACTGATTTGATAAGAATTGAGATAAGTTGTCTACGATTGTTCGATTGACCAATTCACATGATGAGTTCAGTGCCTGAAATGCAAATTTACCTGAGCTTCGAAAGTCATCCGAATTCACGACATTTGATGTGTTAGAATAAATGTGATAATTAATCCATTGTTGAATCACAAATGTACTAGTGCATGCCTGATGTAACGTGTAGTTAATATTAAGAATTGTTTCGTAACTAATTATGCTGTTGTTACATGGACATGTGAGTGTTGTGAAGTATTTTGAATATAATTTTTTATATTGTTCGAAAGTAGGTTTCGCAAGGTTGTCTGTTTTGATAACAATAATGAGTGAATTATATAAGAGAAGAATTATTAATGATAGAGCTAATAGAAGAATAGATAATCTTGTTGAAATTCGTTCATTTTTTAGATGATGTTCATTGACTGATGGTGGAACAGATTGAAACAAATTTAATGTCATAAGGTAGTTTTGTGCTTTCTGAACCAAACTGACACTCTGTTCATTTATTTCGATACCTAAAAGAAAAAATATATACTTCAGCTCTAGATTCATTGAATGTATTTTATTTTTTAGCCAACTTCTTTCGACACAGTATCAACAGGAATTTAGTTTCCAAAAACACTCAAATGGTTGGAATACCTTGTATGTTGTTTCGAGAGATTCTAGAGTAAAAAATATCTTCTTACTATTTTCTGATGTTTTCAATTGTTTTTTTCTTCTTAGAAATTTCACTAGTCTTGGTACCACAATTTTCAAAACAGTGATTAAACCACCAACGAGTCCAAATAATGCTGTAATAATATAAACTATACCATTCTTTGTCTCATGAATATAAGTACACTCTATCGGTTGACATTCATTATAATAGCTTTCATAACTCCATGACGGGTTCCATTCTTCAATCATTAGCTGATCAAGCAGCTCTTTTATTGTTGATTTGACAGAGTATCTAGTTTTTGATGANTCGACTAATGTAGTTATTTCGCGGGAATTAGCGAACTCGAAGCCAAAAGTAACAATATCAGCTTATCGACATTCAAGTTAATGGAAACGCATTTTCAGAAACTGAAAACAATTATCAATTAATAAAAATCTTGAATTATTCTTGCTATTTCTCATTAACTCAAAGATACCTCTTTTTTCAGAATAGTTTTGAATAAAATAGTGCCAAGTGCAAGTTATTGTCTACAATAAATATAAAAGATATGATAACAGTGTTAAAACGTTTTAAATAGGATACGGAAGCAAATAGTGTGCACCAATATTGAAATATGATGATAACTAAAAGCATCTAAAGTCAGGTTTTTTCGAAGAAAATGTACTATTTTCAGAAAAAGAAAAGCCTACGCAAGTATAATATTCTCTTGTAGTACAGCCATTTTAAAAGTTAGGGCATTATACTGAAACTCTACTGTTATTTATGATATTATTTTTAATAGCACCTTCCACTGATAAAACATTTCAGCAATCAATTCAGAAAAAGTAGAGATAATTATAGAATATTTTGGGAATGATTTGATGAGAGTTCATGAGTATAAACATATTGCATGCATCTCTATATTTTTTACTTTGATATTTACTTAAAAGAGGAAGAACGGTCGTTAGAAATTTATAATGGAGACAATCTGTTATTATTCTCATCACATTCATGTTTACCTTCATATAGGGAGGAAAGTATGGAATTTTTTTCGGTTATGAGAAAAATGAAAATAATTAACTTTCAATACAAAACATAAGACTCGAGTTTAATAATGAATATACTTTAGAATACAAAGATATGTGAGATAGAATTTAATCTCGTAATAATCAAATTATTATATAAGTTTTTATGACTGATATACAGAGCGTCAGATCCAAATTTATTCGACGGACTCAATTCATAAATATTCACATGATGAAATCCATATACAGTTCTCAAATTATATATTTTTACATCAAATAACAATGTCAATCTGATAATATTTGATTTAAAACTAATGTTGAAAAAGGAAATATGTTAATTATTTTTGTTGCTTGTGCTCTATATTGAAACAAGTATATAGATAAAAATTAATTATTTCATAGGAGAAAAATTAAAACTTTGTTCTTCTAATTAACTAAACAATTCACTGAAGTAATGTCAGGTATACTTAAATTCGTAGACTTGAAAATTTTATATTAAGATTAACTATAAGTGTAAATGTTTATGTTTTAGAAAAGAGAATAAATCTGGTAAGATTAGATAAAGTATTCATGTAAATAGTTCAGTTTTTTTTCTGAGTATGATACTGTTGATTTAAAGCATTTTAATCTATTTTAGATCGTGAAAGTAACACAGATTCAACAAAGCAAAACTATGAATAACAACAGAATAGGAATTTATCATGTAAATTATTGAAAAGAAGACAAAGAATGCAAAATAATTCTTGTTTTTTTTCGTTTTCAATTATTTTAGTCTGAATTAATTAACCAAAACTCAACAGAGCCTAGAAGTTTGTATGTATTGATGTGAATTATATTTAATGATAAAAATAATATATTATTTTGTAGATGTGAATATTTTCGAAAAAGAAAATTAGCATGGATGATATTTTTAATTATTATTATTATGATTGCTTCAATAATAATTATTGTAATAATTATCCAGAAGACAAAAATGAATCAAAATGATAATATATGGACGGCCGAAGTACAAACGACAGTATTGATAACAGAAGATTTAACAATTGGAGTAACAACGACAGAAGGNTATTTCTGATAGGGGCAATCATCGAATACAAAGATTTGCTGTTAATCCTAATTAAAACTAGTTTTGATGATTAAATTATTACTGACGAATAATTATCTTTTTTCTTTTCACAGTAAATAAATTAACTTAAATAATTAGAAAAACCTAATAAAAGATATAAATAATCTTATTTATTATACAATCTGACAAACCTCGAATGTCGATGAGGGTATGAATGTGCACATTGATCTTTGACTGATTTATGTCCATACTCGCATCTTTAACCATTTCACCGCTATTCGATTTTCATAGAAGATCACATTTCTAAATGTGCTTTATTAGAAAACAATTTATATCATGAGATGCAGTCTGAAAAGTTCTACAGTCTACTTTTTGTTTACAAAACAACGCAAAAGTGTGTGCGACCAATTTGAGGTTGCTTCGAGACTACAGTATTTTGCATCGAAGTTTATACACAACTGAAATAAGCTTTACGGTGTAGACTGCAGAGCGCCTGATACTGCATCTTGTGGTATAGTTTGTTTTTTCTTAGGAAGTCGTATTATTCGAGCAGACAATAATCGTCAAAAACGCATGAAAACTGTAAAAACTTTCGCCGTGTTTCTCTAAGTCTATGATAAATTTTTACTGATGTAATATTTCAGAACAATTATGGACGATATTCATCTGTTCTTTTTTTTTTCGGGTGTTTCTACCAATCGGGGACCGTATTTGTCATTCATACTCGAAAGATAAATAGAAGCGTCCAAGCTTAGTTTTTATATATAAGTGCACCTGTCTATGTTTATGTTTTAAAACAATTTTCGAAATATTTTATGGATAGCTCTTTCCAAAAACATTTTATGTGGATATCACAAAAGTTTCATTTCCATCAAACACCATCAACTTTCTGAAGGATAGCAACTACTGCTAACACAACAAAAAGATGCTTCTTCATTTTTATTGGACAAACCCGTTATCAAAACAAAAGTATTTCTGTGCTCGGTAACTGAATACCAATATTTCATGCCGTAAAAAAGAAAACCTCCTGGACGAACGAAGCATACGACACACCATACCTGGGCACATGAGCTTTACTGGTCAAGTGATTAATAGTTATCTAGATTGCTGATGTCTCACTAAAAGAACTACTACTAACGCAGGTTCTAACATAGAATTGATCAAAGAACAAACTAAGGATAAGACTTACTAGAATGTTGCTGTGAAATATGCGACTCTATAGAAGAAACATGCGCACATTTCACTGCATATATAGATAGAGGTGTGAAACAAGGTAAACTTCAGTGAGGAGTTTCATCGTGCTCGAAGATAGAACCAATGGTAATACACAAAACGGTGTCGCCACGAACCTGAGAGCATTTTGTTGTAATCGTGAATGATTCTGTTTACAATAGTCGTACATTTAAGACCTTATCTAATATTGCTAATAGTAATCATAGAAGCTCAATATGCGTATGAATGAGAGCGATTGTTTTTGCATTCGTCGGTTGTGGAGTCAAACCGAATTGTTTCCAAGTAGAGAGAGCTGTTAAAACTTGGAATCATGTAGGCTGAATTGTTATGTATAGCCTGATTTATTTTCTATTCGTTCTGGTCGATGAATTAGAGTACAGTACCTCGAGTAGGGCGTCGCCTTAACGCTAATAGATCTATCACTGTGAAAAAATCGTTAGACATGAAAACGAGCATTTTCTTCGATTCACATCGTACATATAAACAACTATTGTTTGATATCTGCTATGTATAGCATTCATCGAGTTTTTGGGTCATTTCATGATAATTCCTTGCAATTTTTATTCCCTCGACTGAAGGAGGGTCATACGAAAAAAAATAGTTTGTATGTTTGTCTGTTTGTGTCAGGGTCAGAGGTCAAAGGTCGTAAAAACATTTTCTTGAAAAACGCTCAAAACTTCATAAAACATGGTTTNATAACAGAAGATTTAACAATTGGAGTAACAACGACAGAAGGTAATTAGTAAACGTAAATATCTCTTAGTTCGCGTAATCTATGAATGATAGAACCTTATATGGTGAATTAGTGAAGTAGTGTATCATAAAAAATTGTTCGGTTAGTGAATTCTATAGTTATACTTCACCAAAGACAGTAAATTAGTGTTCTTGCGAAAATTTCCATCAATTCCCGCACTTTTAACTTTCATTTTTTGTGGACAACTAGAGTTCAGTAGGAACTACCCGGACAGACAAAACTAAAACACCCTATTAATAAGATCTCAGAGAGGCTGAGAAGGATACCAAGAATTGCCAGGAGCTATCATGACTGATAGCTCCGCTCCCATCTACATCGAGATTATGCGTCCTTTGAAAATATAACAGATTCACCCACGCTCTCACACCCTCAAGTGTGCCATTCTGAAGCAAGAGAATTAAATTGTTTATGTTAAAAAGAGAAGGTCAAAAGAGCGAGAATTGAACTCTTCATCATTTGTGGCTCATTCGCTGGCCATGCACAGAAAGAAAACGTGAATAATGTTCCATTGTTGACTTGGTCTGATACGTGATTTGCGTTATCTGTGGACGTAGATAATTGACTGGAAAATAATGCTCTTGAAAGTGAGAATATTTGCTGTAGATATTATTAGGGCTTAGGAATATTTAAAATTGGCTGCCTCTATCGTCGCTAAAAGCCTAATCAGAGTTTTTGCGTTGATGAAGTAGAAAATAGTATTAAGATTTATCATACTAACATTTACATTCTTCAGATGATGTTATCCATTTCATGTCAAAAAAAGTTTATTTAAATCTATGCTTTTATTTAATAGAACAATTACGTCCTTCTCGGATTATTGATAGCAATACTACATGGGTAAAGGCTGGTACTACTATTGCCGGATTACTACCATCTGGACCTGGATTACAGCAACTGGATCGTCCTTATGGTATCTATATTGATAATACAGATCAGAGTATTTATATTGCTGATTATGGAAATCATCGTATTGTTAGATGGAAAGCTGGTGCCACGAGCGGTGTAATCGTTGCAGGCAATAATGACTTCAGAAACCAAATGGAGCAATTACATCATCCAACAGATGTGCTACTTGATAAAGACAGGAATTTTCTGATCATCTGTGATTCTGCCTACGAGCGAGTAGTTCGATGGTCTCGTCGGGATAATCAAATTCAAAAAACGCTGATTTCTAAAATTGGCTGTTTTTCTCTAGTAATGGATAATAATGGAGATCTTTATGTTTCTGATATAAAAAACCATGAAGTAAGAAGATGGAAACAAGGAGAGGCGGACGGAAAAATAGTAGCAGGTAGAAAGGGAAAAGGAAAACAAGCCGATCAACTCAATACTCCCTATTCTATTTTCGTCGATCAAGACTATTCAGTTTATGTGGCAGATTTTTTAAATTCCCGCGTGATGAAATGGATGAAAGATGCGGACAATGGAACTATTGTTGCTTGTGGGCCCCATCAAACTAATAGTGATAATCGACGGTATCGCCCTTGGGGCGTAGTTGTTGATCATGAAGGGAATATTTACGTGTCGGATACAGAATTTAATGTAATAACGCGTTGGTTGTCTGGTGTAACAAAAGCTAGTATTGTTGTTGGCGGAAATCGAGGAACGGGAGCTACTGAATTAAGTGTTCCTACTTACTTTTCATTTGATCTACAAGGTAATCTCTATATTTCTGATAGGGGCAATCATCGAATACAAAGATTTGCTGTTAATCCTAATTAAAACTATTTTTGATGATTAAATGATTACTGACGAATAATTATCTTTTTTCTTTTCACAGTAAATAAATTAACTTAAATAATTAGAAAAACCTAATAAAAGATATAAATAATCTTATTTATTACACAATCTGACAAACCTAGAATGTCGGTGGGGACATGGATGCGCACATTGATCTTTGGCTGATTTACGTCCACACCTGCATCCTTAACCCTTTCATCGCGATTCGATTTTCATAGAAAATCACATTTCTAAATATGCTTTATTAGAAAACAATTTATACCATGAGATGCAGTCTGAAAAGTTCTACAGTCTACTTTTTGTTTAAAAAACAACGCAAAACTGTGCGATCAATTTAAGGTTGCTTCGAGACTATAGCATTTTACATCGAAGTTTATACACAACTGAAATAAGCTTTATGGTGTAGACTTCAGAGCATCTGACACTGCATCTTGTGGTATAGTTTGTTTTTCCTTACGAAGTCGTATTATTCAAGCAGACAATAATCGTCAAAAACGCATGAAAACTCTGTAAAAAATTTCGCCGTGTTTCTACCAATCGGCGACCGTATTTGTCATCCATACTCGACTGATAAATAGAAGCGTCCAAACTTAGTTTATATATATAAGTGCATCTGTCTATGCTTATGTTTTAAAACAATTTTCGAAATATTTTATGGATAGCCCTTTCCAAAAACATTTCTCGTTTACCTTGCCAATTTTTTCATCATTAATAGCATCAAAAATATTCTGTGCGGATGTGACCAAAATTCCATTTCCATCAAACACCATCAACTTTCTGAAGGATAGAAACTACTGCTAACACAACAAAAACATGCTTCTCCATTTTTATTGGACAAACCCGTTATCAAAACAAAAGTATTTCTGTGCCCGATAACTGAATACCAATATTTCATGTCGTAAAAAAGAAAATCTCCTGCGCAAACAAAGCATACGACACGCCATACCTGGGCACATGAGTTTTACTGGTCAAGTGATTAATAGTTATCTAGATTGCTAATGTCACACTAAAATAACTACGTACTACTAATGCAGTAATTTCTAGCATAGAATTGATCAAAGAAGTTGAACAAAGAACAAACTAAGGATAAGACTTACTAGAATATTGCTGTGAAACAAGGTAAACTTTAGTAAGGGAGTTCACTCGGTCGGAACCAGCCTGTTTCCAGCCAAATTTTTGCTGGTTTTTATCAAAAAAATCCTATAGGTTCCAGACGGAAACGGCGATAGTTCAGACCCAACTGGATCCTGCTATAAAAATATTACTATCCAGGTAAGAACGTATACATCGGTTTCGACCGGTATCCTTCGAAAGTTCGCCGAATTCTCAACCGACGTCAGAATAGATCAATATCCGTAGATAATAATAGCATATTTTCTCAAATATCACCGAAATCTCTTAGCCATGATTGATCGATCTGAGCAAAACTATTTCCTCCTCTTATAATTCGAATTCTATACCCAGACCGAGCAATCCGGTCTAGAGCCTGTCATAACAGATAGACCAGAATGAACACACGTGAAGTTACGAAAATCGTTCGCACACGATAAGAAGTGCAACAGACAATTGAAAATCATCGCGCTCCCATAAGTGCCTTGTCTACAATGAACTGCATACAATACTTCACCGAGTTACACATCTATAGAAAATGGATATGTTCCAAAGTACTGAAAGGTACTGTGCGTTCATGGGGTGGGATATAGCTTGATCGGAAATCGCTGCGGATTTCACGTAATGGTTGTTGCAGATGTGAAGCTTGGGCCTGTGTGGCCGAAATATGAGGGAGAGTAACGAATCCGCGGGAAGAGAAGTCTGAATTGACCGGCTTGCGACGGAACTGTTGGGGGACATAGTCTCTAGGATCCGACTGTTGAAAGTGGCGATGGATGTTGCGCGAGCCTGCTGGTTTGTATGAACTTCCGGTGTTTTCCGTCTCGGCTCCGCTCTGATTCCGGCGATTGGAACGATCGACCTGGGTAATTTTCCATTAACTAAACATATCAATGGATTCAAAAGATATTGATCAAAAGAATACTTATACTCGTACTATTGATGTTGATTATTTGAATATCTTCAATAATCAAATGTTAAACAAAGACCGTATATTTTAAAAAGTATATTTATTTCTCGTTCTTTTTGTTAGTTACGATATGAAACGATCGGTTGCAATAGATTGATTGACATTGAAAAAATCTAGTTTTGCGTGGCATCCTTTCACTTTTCTCAATTCTCTTTTCTCGTTGTTACTGTTGTTGAGGGTGGTGGAGGTGTTTAAGTGTATTTTATTGTGTGACGTAAAATTAAAAGGAGAAGGAGATTGATTTGATCGTTTGTTCATATTTATATGTGAAAAAGTAAGACAATGCCAGATATGAGTTTCTTTTTCACTCTGATTGATCAAGTTTTAAAATTGTTACTTCTTTTATATGATTGCCGTTCCAACAGGTTCAGTATCAATTCATGTTTCAGTGGTCCAACGTAAGGAAATCGTGCTTTCTTTTAAATTAATAAATCTGTACATACTGATGAATGTTTCAGATGGATGTTGTCAATCTGGTTTTGATTTGACATATCCTGCTCAGTTAAATGGAATAATTTCTCAAGTTGAATATCAAGAATCTATTCAAAATATTAATAACGCATTTGCTTCAAAGCTAGTTATCCTTTTTTTCATTTCTTATACTACTTATTTGTATAATTGCTGGAGTTGCCTTGATTATCATTGATGGATTACCTGCATCTGCTTCTCATAGTTCTGGATTTTCGGTTCTAATGGGTATCGCTATAGGTGTGCTTATTGGCAGTTTTTTAATTGTAATAATTATTAACGTTATTTTACAATATCAAGGAAGACTTAATTTACGAACAGCCATTGCTACTGAATCAATGAAATATACATCAAAATCTCCAATACCAAGTAGTTGGAGACTACATACTAGACGAATTTATAGACGAGTAAATGGGCGTAATCGAACAAGTACACTAATTTATACAGTAAATACTTTAATTATTTTGTTTGTTTGTTCAAGTTAATTATTGATCTTGGAAATCCCAATCCATCAAATGTTAGCAATATCTCATATGGATCTAATCAAGTCTATCCTTATCCTCCACCATCAGCTCCTCAATATAATGTTCGACCTGCAGCAGCATTTTGTCCTCAATGTGGAATCGCTCGCCAAAATCCTTCGATGAAATTTTGTCCACCATGTGGTCAAGCATTTAATAACTGATTATGAGTGAAGTTGAGAGCGTATTAGCTTTATGCATAGATAGAATAAGGATGTAAAATTAACATCGTATAAAGAGGCTATACAATTGTTTAGTTGTAGTGATGAAAGTTTCGAACACCATATGTATTTAATTTGTGTTGAATTTAATAGCAAGTGCGCTGCAGTTTAGCTAATATAGTTTATTTAAATTAGATGATGTTTAGTATGCGAAGAAATGGTCAACTATTCTAAGAAGAGCAAGTAGATATCTTTCTCAATTATAATCGGAGATAAATCATTCATTCATTTAAAATTCATCTGAATTATTAGACACTTACCATTTTGTACACGTTGACCAAAAATATTTTTGATTGAATCTTCACATACATCTTGATATTGAAAGCTATTGCATGGTTAAGTTATACAAAAACTTTTCAGCCGTGTGAATATGTTCTTCGTTTATATTAACTCAAATTAGATATAAAGTAGCTAAAAAAAGAGCAATTTGTTGTGTATCTTTCGTTGAAAATACAAATTCATAAAACATACATGACATAATATTATCAAAGATGATTCGGGTGAGATATACCAATTGCTGATATAATATTCAACGAAACTGAGTTGCCGGAGAAAAGTATCAGTTTCACAATATTTTTAAAACTATATTGTATCTGATAATACTGTAAGTAAGAAAATTTTAATGAGAATTTTATTGCTGAATCGCATTGTTATTGAAATTCAGTGGAAAGCTAGAATTTCAATGGAAAATCTTAATTACAGAATTATATTTCTATTGATGATGATTCAAATCGAAAAAATATGAGAGCGACATATAAAATTTCCTTAATTTCACATAGAACCGCTCAATTGATTGATAGTAATTTGGAACAACTGTCAATTTTTAAAACCATTTCCACAAGACTTAATCCTACGAAGAACAATTGAACAAAAAGGTGTCGTTTTCTAATCACGAGTCTGTTAAAATTTCAGTGGATAAAAAACGCACATGATAAATATCGATTACTGCTATTTTCTGCGATCAGTGCAAAGCTAGCACTAAGGCGCTAGAACGAAAAAGGAATGTTTACTCGAAATTTTTGGAAAAAACTTCAGTAAATATTTCTTTTCCCCTCTGAAGTCATCTTTTTGATAAATAATTAGTTGATTTTAAATTGCCTGTAAAACCTAAAATAAAGACTATTAGAATAGATTAGTATAGAACAAATAGAACTACGTATACAATAAATTAACTGGGAAATTGTTCATATATTTGAGGAACTACTAGTAATTATAATAGACAGTATATGGTACAGTACTGACATCTTTTGTAGTAAAGAAGTAGACATAGTTTGCATTTATACTGAAGTTGTAAAAGGAAACAGTTTATGATTCTATGTAAATAGAGAAAGTTTTGGCACAAGAAAAACTAGAAGAAAAATAAAAAACAGGCTTCAATTTCAAAAACTCTCTCGGATTTTCAGGAGGTTTAACAATTTTTATGAAATATCTTTTCTTATAGTTAATTTGTGACAAAACATCTCTTTAAACTCTATTTCTGTTCGACAGAATCAAATTTTTCTATTAATAAGTTTTGCACTCACCGACACTTACAATGACATATTTCTTTCATGTCTTCGTCATAGCGTACGAGCGAACAAAAAGTACTTTTACGTACGCTCGTTACGTTTTTTTTTCTTTCTATATAATAGCGATGTGTTTTACAGTGTGCAACTATTTCAATAAACAAGGTCTCAACAATGACAGAGCAAAAACGTGTGATTTTAGTGACTGGAGCAAATAAAGGCATTGGTTTTGAAGTCGTAAAAAAATTTCTTGATCAATCTTCTTCTAAAAACAATGATATTATTCTTCTTGGTAGTCGAGATATCAAACGTGGTGAAGATGCAATTCAACGATTAGGCTCTCCATCAAATGTGCATTTATTACAATTAGATACATCATCAAAAGAAAGTATCCTTGCTGCTACTAATGAAATAAGACAAAAATACAATGGACATTTAGATATATTAATTAATAATGCTGCAATTGCACCAAAAGATCAATCAGTTGAGGCAACAAAATCAGCATTTGAAACTAATTATTATGGTATTAAAATACTTAATGAAAATTTGATTCCATTAATACGTAAACATGGTCGTGTCATTAATGTTGCCAGCGGTGTTGGTCCATTGGTATCATATCTTTTTTCAAAAGAACTTCAAGAAAAATATACATCACCAACATTAACAACACCAGAACTGGATCATATTGTTCAAGAATTTCTTTCAGCATATGGATCGGACAATTTAGAACGTATTGGATATTCTTCTGAAATACCTTTCCCATCATATACTGTTTCTAAAGCTGCACTAATTGCTCTTACTCGATGTCAAGCACGTCAATATTGTAAAGATAAAAATCTATTCATTTATTCTGTATGTCCTGGCTTTTGTGCCACTGATCTTAATGGTAATGCTGCCGGAGCTCGATCAGCAGCACTTGGTGCCGATTCTATAATGTATGTAATCAATACACCAACAAATGAATTAGAAAATGGCGCTTTTTATCAAGATGGTAAACAACTACCATATATATGTGATGATGAAGCTAAAGTCAAAGGATTTGTTGAACATTCCAAAACATTATTCAAAGAAAAACAATAATATCTAAAATATTAATTGTAAAATATGTTTTGAATATTTTTAAGACATAAATATTTCTTCACAGTTTCCTTTAAAATGATGTCGTCCTAAATTCGTACATAAATTGTTTATTAGAATCTTGAAAACTTCTTCTCTTATTATTCCATTGATCTATGATTTCTATCAAATTGATCTCAATTATAATTCTAAATAACTTAAATTGTAACATTATCTCAAAAGGCCCGTGAAATGAATCATATTGATAGTAATAACTAAACCGAAACCTTGATTTAAATTGATTATAATTACTGTGTTCATTTCTATTTGATCTTACTTTAATATAATCCTCATTTGATAGTGTTGGAAAAGTATTTAATTAAAGATGATGAAGTGTCATTAAAAATATGAAAAAAATTCAAAATATTATTACGCATCCTATTATTGTACTTGAAAATTGTTGACAACTATTATTCTTATAGTTTGTGTATTTTTCACGATATAATTAATCTAAAAATATCAAAAGAGACATTAAGAGATAAAAAAAAGGAAAACTCTTCTTAACTTACTTCGTGTTGTTCGACTTTGAAATAAATTAAACTTATTGAAATAAGAAAAATCAAAGATATACGAAAGATGATATACACTATCTATCGTTTAGAAAATAAAAAAATGTGATTTATTTCGTTTCACATGAATAAACACGTGATGATCACATATTTATAATTTACCAACGTATACACTCTTCGTTACGCACATGTAATGAAATCTTATCTGAATCATTAAAATCCAAAAAAATACATAAAGGTATTATACCCTCGACTGAAAGGAGGGTCATGTCGGAAAAAAGTGGTCAAAAGACGAAAATTCGTTTGTGTGTGTGTCTGTCGCAGGTCAAAGGCCAAAAGAACATTTTCTTCGAAATTGACCAAGACGTCAGAAAACATGGCTTGGGAGGGCTATTGAGGGTGGATGTTCGTTGGAGAAAGCATCGAGATTAACTGTGATAGCGAAGGCGGCCGAAGGCCGTCTGAGCGCTCGCAGAGAAGACTACACACGTGGTATACATTTATGAGTGTTGCAGTGGTTACAGGGAATCGATGGAGCCAATCAGTAGCGTCGCAGGCTTTGAAAAGATTGAGATCAACCTCGATGGTGGGTCAGAGTGAAAGGAAGGGTGAATGAGAAGATACGAAGCTACCGTGTTGTGCAATGGAAAACCAGAAGCATAAGGAGCGCAAGTGTCGAAATTTTGAGCATGTTGCTTTTCGTACCTAGCACAATTTCTCCGTATGTCATGCGTTCGCCATAGATATTTCGTATTTGTCATCGGATACCGATGCTAATGGCATATAATGAAAACGCCTAAATATCTGCACCAGAACTACTGCTCCAAACAAAATGTCAGCTATTGCTCGGAGAGCTCTTTAAGACCATTCCGTATCACACCCGCAGGTCGTCGCAGTGCCAATCGCTCAACAGTCGAAATGAGTAATATCTGTATATTCAAGAAAAACTGTCCTATTATAGGGATGTACGAAATCCACTTCCAGTCAAANAAAAAATGTGTACCCTTTTGATGTACCCCATTGCGGACAAAAATGTACCTCACATGTACCCCATTTAAGAATTTTTGTACCCCATTCTATACCTGAACAGCGGGCAGCCCTGGGTTTGACTGATATGTGGCTCACATTTAGTCAGAATTAAATTTCGATCTTATTGAACTGTGCTTCTACTCGAACTAACACTGTATCACAGTGAAATAAATTTGCCATTTTTTACAAGTCTTTCCAGATTTTTGTCTCAAAAAAGGTGAAATACCTATTGTCAAATTCACATGACAGTCTGATTCACTCTTACTGATTCCAACACTGCAACTTATCGAATGTATAGAAAGTTTAAAGCTTTGACAAGATTTGATGATCAAATCCAAATCCAACTTCACTCAATTCCAGTCAAATCTAAGATTTGGATTTGGTGCATCCCTAGTCCTATACAACCACTGTCCACTATGCCGGCCACTATCTCACACAAATGCATGAGAAATAGCGCAGATCTCGATTCGCATGGAACCAAACGGTCACTCATCGCTTCTACCACACCACCTTAGACAAAGACTACTGCATTCAAAAAATGCCCTCAAGACAATTGGGAAAAACCAAAACTTCTTCGAGTCTCAAAGTAAATGCAATTCGACAACACACAAGCAGATTCCTACATATACTTCATCAAAATTAAATTTTCATTCCTATCCACAGAGTAAAAACACCAATCCTCCCAGCTCCCCGCTACCCGATTCCATCAGCACAGCAAATTCTTATTCAACGTTGAAATGAAGCTTCTTTCGCTTCACAAACCATGTAATAGCCAGAATCATGAGGCTGAATATCCAAACTAATAATGCGGCTCAAAGATAAATCACCTCTTATTTTAGCTGAAACAGCATGGCTCGAGATTGAGTGGAAGTGTATGTGTGTATCTAATATATTAGATTAAAAAAAATAAAAGCTAAACTGAATGATTTTAAAGATATGGAGTTTTTTTTCAAAATGATCAATGGTAAAACGCATGCTTTTCAAAGGATTATCATGTATAAAATGGATTTATTTGATATTTGTCAGTTGAGCAACACCGATTCTTTCATTAACTGATCGATATATAAAATCTCACAATACTCGAATAGGAATGCGCGTTTAAAATGCTTTATTGATATATTACTATTAACATCTATAGAAGTAGTTGGAATATTTGTTTTTAATTTGGGGTTTCATTGGATTTTCGACGATATTTGATTTTGTAATACTTGTTTTAATGGTTGTATTACAATTGATCTTTAGTAAATTGTTTAGTTGATGCCGAAAAGTGAGATTAGCATCCATCGATAAACGTGTTCAAGCGATTAATTCACTTGTCAATGGTTGTCTAATTATCAAAATGCACAATAGGGAAAAAGCAAAGGGAAAACGAGTGCGTACAATACATCAAAATGAATTTTCTAGTCTTTATAAATCGAGTTTATTATGAGCATTAAATGTTGGTCTTTTTTTTGCAAGTTTATCATTGATTCCTCTGGCAACATTTAGAATAAGTTGGCTGATCGATCAAACTTTTCAGACAGCAATTGTTTTTCAATGCTTCGATCTATGGTTACAATTACAATAGTATATGCGTTGGAAAAATTAAATGAAGCACGTGTTTTAGCTCGAAGAATCGATCAATTTATGCAATTAGATGTTGTCTTTAGAAAATGTGAAAAATGATGAAATTTATTATGTTCGCTGTCCAAGGTCTTTTTGATTTTAAAAATCATTGGCTCGTAAATATGGTCTTCTAAAAGTGCAATTGAACAACTATGGGTATTAGGTTCGTCAATTATCGTTTTATTCATGTGCATCTATCTGTAAATTCGATGGATTGAATTTTCTCTTCAATCTCTTCTTTATAAATGAACAAACCATATCCGAAAATTCATGTTATTGTTATTTTTTTTAATTTTTCAACTTTTATTCTAATCTAGTGAATAATTTTAGGTATTGATTAATATTATTTGCAAGAAAACATCTCCATAATAGAAATAATATTACGCAGGGCTATCGAAAAGTAGTGAGAGAATGTTTTCTTTCCCTTTAGGAAGAACACTAAGAATTATTTTTTTACCAATCGATAGAGCGTGTTTCGCTCTATTTCTCTGTGTTAATTGTTCGCTCCCTAACTGTTCATAAGTTAGTAAATTTTCGAGAGAAAGTTTTTTTTCTTGCCACTCGCTGGCAGCAATATAGTCGGTACTTTTGCTTATATGGATTTTTTCCCGTTTTTCGCGGGTTTTGTCTCATTCTTTCATTACGTTCCCTCCTTCTTATCGCGTTTGGCGGGTCTCTCTTATGTACCTATAACAAAGAATTTTTCCGCATCCTTAACTCAGATGAATAAAAAAAGTCTGTCGAGAAATGGTTCGAAAGAATGCAGCTATAAGTGGCAAGTAACGGCAGTTACTTCGAACGTTTATTGAAATATCCACTTAGTTAATTCCTTTTTAGTTTTTCCTTTCGTTATAATTGATTTTGTCGGAATAAACGATACGTGAGCAAGACTCGCCAGACGCAATAAGAAGAAGAGAACATAATGAAAGAATGAGGAAAAACCCATGACAAACGGGAAAAAATCCATACAAGCAAGAGTATCGTCTATACCGCTACCAGAGAGTGGCAAGAAAAAAAAGCTTTCTCTCGAAAATTTACTAATTTATGAAGAGTTAGGGAGCGAAACACACTCTATCGATCGGTGAAAAAACAAGAACTCTTTTAATGTTTTTTCTAAAGCGGAAAAAACCCTCTCTGACTACTTTTCGATTAGGCATGAACCCAGTTCGACTGGGTATTAGCTACCTATAGTAACTTCCACTGTAATTCATATGTAAAAACGAATATATTGGACTTCATCAAAATGGCATTCTAACTCCAAGAAATCGAGATATCCTTCCAAGGGATATTGAGTACTCTGTAAAAAGAACCGGGTCATACTGAACCTTTTTTCAGTACCATTTTCAGAACCTAAAATGATTTTAGCTAAATGTGCCGAACTAGAAAAAGTTTTAGACCCTCACTAAAACCTTTCATGGTTCACTATCGACCAGTTTTTTTTTGCAGAGTATTTGAAATCGAACAAGAAACAAAACTCTACATAAAATTTCACGATTTTTCGAGTGAAGAGGGTCTCATAGTTCACGGGGTGAGCAAAAAATCGACCTTAAGTAGCAGTCCAACGAAGTACCTCTTTTCAGAGAGTGATTTCTTATTGGGACCTTGTCTTACCGTATTTTGTTGCGACAATTATATGAAATATGGTTTTTCAAGTGAAATGATAATGCTTGTAGTCAGCTAAGATCATAGAATTACTGTAGTTTGCAAGTCTTAGACTCAAATCTCAGTGATATGTAATATTGTATAAAAAAATGTCCTTTTGGAAGGGCTTTTGGCCATAGGGGCATGGATCATTCATCTTTCTGTATGACTATATTAAGTATTACATGTATATAAAAAGTGCATATTTTTGTCATTTTTGGCTCTTCGATGCCTTCGACAACGTATGTGGATAAGGGCATGTGTGAGTGAGGGTTGAGTAGACGAGTGTCTGTGTCATGTGTGATTTCTGAGCAGAGTGGTGCATAGCTGGTGGTTTTATCTTCACTCACCTATAACGAAGTCCTCATCTACTCACACCAGCTCTCGTGTTTTTGCTCAAGCATAGTTTCATTTGCATGCACATTCAAAAACATTTCAAATTGAAACATTAGCACACAAGCGCACATTTTATATACATATAATACTTAGTTTAATAATAACGGAAGAGAAATATTCTGTGCTACAAGTAAAAGTGTTCTTTGCAAGGAACATCCCGTATCTTGATGATAAAAAGATACTTCTTTTCTCATGTCAACACAATAATCCTGACTGCTGTGAAGTTCTGTTTCACATATGTGTTTCTTTCTATCTTCGAAAAAGCCTTCCACGGGTTTTCAGGGCTAATGAAACTCAATACAATGTGTTTCGTCATTGGCACAAGCTGACAAATAAATTCCGTTTCATTCGCGCCAATTAATGGAACTTATAAGCTAAGCTTCATATTAAGTTTCATTTCCAAGAGTCTGTACGCGATTGCACATGGGCAGTAACGGTATGAATTAATTATCTTAGTATGCCAATCTACATTGCGTGCAAAGAAGGCATTAAGGTGATTTATAATCATTTGTTTGAAGAAAATTAGTGTGTTTAGTATACAACAGACTAGAAAACAAGCATTTCAGAAGCGTTCGGCCTAGTTAGTATTCGACATAAAAGGCACAATAGCAAATGTTTGTTGAAGGCTACAACACATATGAATTACGGTGGAAGTTACTATAGGTAGCTAATACCCAGTCCGACTGTACTGGTGCATGTCTATTTTCGATAGCCCTACGTATTTTGTAATCATTCATAATTTTCTTCAACTATTTCCTATCATTTTCTATGTCCTTCAAATGAAATAATGATTTCTTCTTGCTCACAGAAAAACGTAAAGCAATGAATTACATCTGCATATGTGCATTAAACAGAAGATTATATTTTTCTAATTACCAATCGGTTAGGGAGGCAATATAATTACTTCAGATGTGAAAATTCTAACGAGGATCGCATTTACATCTACTGCAGTTTTCTCATATGCGAAACTTTCAATACAAATATTTTTTAATCGTTATCAGATACCTTCGCTTATATGTTCATAAGCATCGAACAAAATCAGAAATAACTTCAAACCTTTTCACGTTGATCTTTATTGTGACTTCTATAACATGTAGATCTAAATATTTCATGTGCTGATCGTTTGAATTCTTTATAGTTGTTAACGTGAGCTTTGACTATAGTTTTGTTTCATATGGTTACAGCTGCATTTTGGGCGATAGATGAAAAAAATTCCGAGAGGAAACTTTCTTGGGATCAAAAATTTTTGTTTGTCATATTCTGTAGAAGTCTGTCGTGGGTATTTTCTCTACGTCACTGAAATGTAAACACATTATTCAAAACTTCGAATGCATAAAATACTGTCTATCCTTGATCAAATAGGTCATTAGAAATGCGTGACATAAATGCGCATAAGATGTATTGAATGGAAGTTTATTTTTCCTCCATACAACCGTGGGTAGTCCATTAAAAATATTTTCTTTCAATCGCTAGACGGAAAAGTTCCCGCGAAAAAATATTTTTTTATTGTTGATTTAAAATTTGCACAGTAACTATAAATATAAACGTTTAATCTCCATCCATTTCATTTTATACAGTACGACAGATGAGAATGAAGGGAATTTTATATCTTTCATTCTTAGTTTTGCTTTTATTGCATGATGTGATTGATGGAGCACATTTTCGTGGTGGTATTATTTCATGGTGAGTATCTGCAGTCGTAGCGTTAATTTTTTCTCAATCGAATTTTCTTCTTAGGCGGCCGTTAAATCCTAAACCTGCACCATCCGACACTACCGCTGTGATTCTCATACATCAACGGTACTTTTGGAATCGTACATGGGGTAGTTTTACTCCACGGACTTTTGTTTGCACAGAAGCAAATGTTGCTGCTAAGACAAATATTAGCGTTGGTGCTGCTTATCTACAATGTTTAAATAATTGTCCGAGTTCAAATTATACTAATAATACGGTTTCAGTTACTACTAAAACTACCGATTGTCAAAACAATTCAATGATTGAATCGGTGGCTGGTGAAAAATATGATCAGGTGACTTTACTATTGAATACATCGATTACAATAGGTTATCAATCAAATGCGTGGATGGCGCAACTTTATAAAGGCGGTGGCGGTGACTGGTCCATTGTTAATCGACTGAATTTAGTCTTAAGACCTGATGGTTATATCAATAGTAGTCCGGTTACAAATACATTACCAGTCATATTTTATCAAATAAAGACGCCAATTGTTCACATCGTACAAATGGCAGATAATGATCCCACTGATATATTGAAATGTCGTTGGTCTGATGCAAATTCAGCATACAATTACAATCAAGTAGATGAATGTGGAGGTATCTGCTCCGGATTACCTATTGGAGCTGCAGTGGAACCTACTAATTGCACATTAACATTCAACTTACCGACTGCTGATATATATTATGCAGTTGCTCTACAAATTCAAGATTTTTATGATTCTTCTTACACAATTCCAATGAGTTCTGTTCCTATACAGTTCTTATTTTATGGATATAATATTACCAGCACTTGTACACCTCCTTCTATCATCGGTGTTCGTCCAAACCGAGGTATGAATATTAGTATTCTTATTTAAATTAAACTCACCTGTACTTTTTTTAAAATTGATTTCAGCTTGTATTGGAGTTGCTATTAGTAAGTACAATCAATAACTACATTTCATCATCTTTACTATTTTGAATTTATATTCAAGATGTCACGTTCAATGAAACTATCATTGTAGAAACATATTGTCCTGGTCAATCGGTCGTTGATTTTATTACTGCTTCACCATATGGAATGACGCATAGTTCTATTACTCATATAAGTACTTGTAAGTTATTCATTTTGACCTATTAGAATGAGAAAAAAATTTGAATTTGAAATAAAAATTGATAGTTAAATGGACAATGATATTGACATGGACACCCGCACAAGAGCAGGCTGGTCCTCAAACTTTTTGTGCTGCTGCTCTTGATAATGAAAATCTCCAGTCCACTCCATGGTGTGTCACATATTTAGTTAATTATACTGCACCAGATTTACTTCAACCTACATACGTACAAGGCACAGCAAGTCCAGTAGGTACTGTCTTTCAAAATCAAAGCAGATTTACCATACAAGGTACATATTTTTGGAGACAAAAAAACAAACTTCATCTGTTTTTCTTTATTTCAATTATATAGCAAAAGGTCAAGTTGGTCGTCCAAGTCGTAATGGAACAAATATCTATTTTAACGATGCAGCTACAAATCAAAGTGTTCTACAATATGATGCTGGATATGCACCTAATATAATTTATACTGGAAATGTAATTGTTATTATTACAAATTATACATGGACACCGGGTAAATTTTATTATATAACAATAGATAGTGGATTTTCAAGTGGAAGTGTATTTTGTCGTAAGTTTTATTTCTATCAATTTCTATATGGTTAATGTTCTTGTAAAGATGCTGAATCGGCACCAATCAGTGATCCAACATATTGGCGATTTAATATTTGGGATCCAGCAGTTTCATCGACAACAACAACAACGACAACACCATTTACAACAGTAACAGTTACAACAAGACCAACATCAACGACTAGTATCAATACTTTATTAACAACAACCGGTATTGTCATCACAACAACTGCAGTTGTTACAACAACTGTAATATCCACTACTAGTTCAACTGCAACAAGTGAGCAAGGCTTACACATTGTCATTATATATATATATATTATTTTTGTTTTGTAGTTACAACAACAGGTTCAACTACTTCAGTTTCAGTCAGTGATACAGTTGATATCATAAATCCACAAGATATTGTATAATTTATCAGATAAATATCATTGATTATCTAAGTATATTTTCTTTATATAATAGGAAAGATTATGTCAACAACCGATATTAATTACGAATATTGTTATGATGTTGATCTGCATGCCCATATATACTCTCGTCGTGTATGCTGGTTTTACAAAATTTTCAAATATGTTCAATCCAGTACATACTAATGCCAAACGAAGACACGATATTCGCATAAAAAGAATTCTTCATTAAAAACATTTTTTATCTTAATCAGCATTTCTGTGTGCCTTTATTTAATCACTAATATTATATGAATAAAATAATCAAGATTTTTCTTTTTTGAATAAACATTTTTTTCAAATGATTCGTCATACTATATTTAAGCAACTAATCATTGATTTCTATCTTTCAATAATCATTTTTTTCTGAGATGAGTATATAACTGAGAAAGTTGCAATGCATTATTTGAAAAAACCGTATTCATGGATATAAATTATTATTAACAGTTTTCGTGTTTAGATGATTGCTGCAAAGTGACTGCACTGATATTCTATAATGATGTTATTCATTCTTCCCAAAGATCATTGGGATTTCGTGAGACAAATTCTAACCGACACTTTGGATCTGATGCATGATAAATGTTTGATAAAAGAAAACATCAACGAGGTAAATTTTGTATAAACTCATTTGTATAAATAGAAATATGTCAAGACACAGATACTGTTTATTCATTCCTATATACAATCTATTTTGCATTTCTCATTGTTTTATCTAAGTGTATGGATAAGGGTTAATGTCTATATATTTCTTATTCAATCTTTCACCAGAACGATAAATACACAGATATCGACTCATAATATTATTACAAGTTTCTACTATATTACATGAACTTTAAGATGTATCGTTCGAGATAAATGACAATAGCCATTTTTGTAGATCCATATGGTAATAAAGAATATATAGTATGGTGTAGAATTCAATATACAGTGAAAATCATTCGATTGAGAAAAAAAATGCGATAGTATACGTATTTTATGCACAATATAAATCTATACTGATAATTGAGTAATACAACCATCTTGAAAATGAATAGAGTAGGAGTAAAAATACATTTGATACGATAGATAAAGTCTAATTCTATAAGTCATTTATTCAATTAGAATGATGAATAGTATGTTACGTTTCCAACACAAATTTCAAAGAACATTTAAAACGAAATATCCATTAAAAGTAACAACAATGTCTAATGCTTCGTCATTAAATAAAACTTTTACATACAGTAGATGAAAGAAATGAAGTCGAATGAAAGAAAGATCATACTACATTAGAAGTCTTTGCGTTAGATAAAAAACAAAGTTAGAATTTGTAATCTTTATGTTCGGTGTTATTGCACTTTAAAGAAAAGAAATTATTCGAGATTAAATATATTTGACATTTTCTGTTAGAAATCGAAAAATAACCAAGAAAAAAAGCCAGTTATAATGACATTAATATCCAAACAACCAGATTTGAAAAAAACACACAAAGTAACATAAAGCTAAAAACTCTATAACTTAAAACGGCACATTTAGCTTCAATATCTTTTGGCAAGTTTCACATCGATTATATAAATTGCATCTTTGATCGACGTTTTCTTTCACTACGTTAATATCTTCAGATTTTGTTTTCGAAGACATATAGAAAAAATCGTTTGACATGAAATGGTAAATTTGAATATCCTGTTCGTTTTGTATTTAATTCACCTTGTTTAAAACTAGGTGCTCCATCTTCATTTCATTTGTTTGAATATCTAGAAAATTATAAACAAGAATTATAGTTTTTCTCTTTCACAATCATTTTGACAGAATATTTTTAAATTTGTTTTATATAGATTTGATCTGCCGCACGTAAACGATTAACAACAATAATAATACAAGTTGATAAATATGAGACAGCCTCTTTTAGTGATACTTCTGCTGCTCGTTTAAACTCAATTTCTTAACTTTTTAATTTTGTATAAGTTCAACTATACAAAGTCTTTTTGTCTTATAAATGATACGTAGAAACTATCTTGAGGGTGTAGGCGAATTTACGTATATCCATATGGATACTGGACTGAAAGTGAAGAGGTAATGGATAAGAATTGTTTTGCAGTTATGGCGATTTCACTGTCTATTCCTGTAAATACTCAAAAAAAAGAATCTTCAAATAGTTCAATGTTAGAAAAAATGGTATCAACAATAGAAATATCATCCAAATAAAACAGGTGTGCAAATTCCCTTGCGAATCTAAATAATAATGTTGTCTATATAGATAGTATTCAGTTTCTATGTTTATTGATTAGTTTAATTGATTCATAGAGTTATCAGCATATTTTATTTTTGAATCAATTCTATTTTCTAAGAAACATTTGATAATGTTCGAAACTACTTCATTATCAGATTTGTCAATTGTAAATCGAACGAATTACTTCAATGGTTTTGAGATTAATAGGAAGAACTGAATAATTCTTCAGTATAATATTGACTTTTGCTGGTTTTTCGTCGCGTCAGTAATGAATTATTGAGAGTTTGAAGATTTAAAGATGTAATATCATTTTCCGTTTTGTTTTCTACTTCAGTTCAATATGAATGATCTTTAATAAAACAACTAATTTCGGAAACAAAAACTATGAGATAATTATATATCTTCTTTTTGATTTTAAAAACTGCTGTTGAATTTCAATATAGATCAATAGAATCGTCATCGTGTCGGAGTGCACCATGATATATCGGTATTTTCTTATAATCACATTTGACAAAACTTTTCCTTCGTTTTCCATCAATAATCTTAAAATGATGAAGACATGGTATTAATAAAAGAAATTCTTTAATAACATCCATACTGTTGAATGATCAAGATTATCAAGAATTGTATGTCGCAATTCAATAGGTAAATTTTTAATGTTTCTGCTTTCGATTCATGGTCTTCGAACAAATCGAGTAACTATTATATCTAATTTTTCTGACGAAGATAGTCACAAGCTGATCTTTTATAATTTTGTAATGGAATAAGTGCCCCAACTATGATCGAATCATTTGTTTTTCTCGAAGACGCAGTTGTAGTCTTCTCTATTCACTTTTAAGTTCGTATAAAGACAAAGGCATGTCTTCTTAATTCGTATGTATGACCTTAGCGTAAAATAGATAGAAAGTAAGATAGCTGAAGTTATATTTTTATTTGATGAATGCTAATTTTTGAACAGAATCTGTTTTCTAGATAGTGTGTCAATTGTTAAGACGATTAATTCCTATTGCTTCAGGAGCAATTGTATGTCGTTGTCTTCGATCAAATTGAAGAAATTTTCGAAATTTTACTCGTAGTTCAGGTAATGAAGCAATTGATACAAAAGGAATCAATAACATTGTAAAGTAAGAGAAAAAATAAATATTTAAAAAGAAATCCCAACTAACGTCAAGTGATAGGCCGAGTGTATAGGCTATATACATAATTTCCGTAGGTAAAATGAGAGCAAAATAAAGAATGGATATTGATAATAATTGAAATGCCATTTTCTTATATTTATTCCATTGAAATCGTTGAACCATTCGATATTTGTTATACCATATTCGGATAATCAGAGAAATACTAAAGACAACAATGACAAAAGTTGGTAGAATATTGTTAACTTGAACTATCCCAAGTACCTAATATTCCATGAATAGCTAAACAGGGCCCTAATGCACATCGTTCGCGATGATAATAAGATGGAATAGAACAAGGTAATGCGAAAAATCAAATAAAATAAAAAGTCGATGGATAAACACTAAAGATAATCAATGGTAAATAATGAAAAATAAAACGTTTGAACGTTGTTGAAGTTAAGTTTCGATGAAAAATAAGAATATGTCGTTCAATTGATGCCCAAGCCGTTCAAATTGTGGTGGAGGTATATCCAGCAAAATCTATAGTAATTCATAGAAGACAAGATGTACGTGTTAATGATAATGGTGAATCTGTACGGTAATCATGAATAAGCCAAACAATATTAGTAATCATATAGATAAAATTGAAAAGAAGAATTATTGTAATAACATGATTGTGCAGATTTTGACGAAATGTTCAATCGATAAGAAAATAATAAAGTTTGAAGATATTACAGAACATTGATGGAATCAGAAAGATTAGAGTAAGCCAAAATTCAATAAGTAAGGGAATTGTCATTTTAATCTTCAGTCATTCAACTTATATGTTTGTGTAGACAACAAATACTTGCTTGTCTTCATTAAGTTGAAGTCACTATCGTAGAATTACACAACTCTTAATGACGTACTAAGAATTTCCAGACTATCGAGAAATTTAACTAATATTGAACAAACAATGAGTGAGATTACGAGAAGTTTCTATCTCACTGAAAACCATAGAAGTGTAATAGACCAGAATAATAAAAAACTTCTATTTCTTCATTTTAATTAAATATCTTTTCTTAGTTGTGTTTATCTCTGTGAAAAAAGTCAATATCCGTCAAAAGAACGCAAATTGAAGATCCTTTTTCAGAAATATGGCTCATAACCGAATGAAATATTCTTGATCAAAAACTTCAATGTTCTCAAAAAGAACTTGAACCGACTAAGATTAGCAGAAAAAAATGTCTTTGTGATTTATTCCCTCGACTGAAAGGAGGGTCATATATTCAAATGTTTTTTCAAACAAACTTAAATCTTTAAATGGATAGAGAAAGTGAAGTCTCGTTAGTCGAATGAAATACGATGAGTAATTAAGAAGATATTGAAATTAGCAAGTTGAAAAACCACACATTGAAATCTTGAAAGAAACTTTCTGAGGTGATTGTATCATTTCAAATACTGTTTTCATTAGCGGATTCTTTTATAGTAATTCCACAAGAAATGAGTATTCGTTAAGATTTTGTTCCATGAAATTTGACTCTACGCATATAATGATAAGATCTTTAGTTAAACAAGTAATCTAAATCAAAACTACTTCATTATTCATATAACATAGTCGGGCTAGCACGTCAAACATAGGCATGGCAAAGTTTTTTTCTCATATTTATTGTAATAAAAAGAATGAAAAAATATCAATCAGCAAAAAAATTAACATACTTTAAAATATTAGCTCTCTTTTTTTTCTTCTTTTTGATGGAATTTGTTACTAATTGATTATATCTGAACTAATAAGGATCATTCGTTACTTGATGTCACAAGAGTAGACGGTTTTTACCAAGTTAGTTAAACTCAGATATTTTAAATAAATTATCGATAGTTATTAGATTTTTGCCAAAAAAAAATCAGTTCTCTTCACGTCATCATGTTTTGTCTTATTTTAATTGAGAGAAGATATTAAATATTTCTCGACACAGAGCAACTATCTGTCGTCAATAAAATCTGATTTTGTTTTCTATCATTTGAATAAAGATATTATCAATTTGATTGATTAGTGAATTTCACTCGATAGGACATAGCTAAATGAGCTTTCAATTTAACTATGAATTATTATCTCTTCAATAGTATATTCGCCATATCATTTAGCAAGATACATAGCTTTCTGATTATTTCCGATGTAATTCCAGTCACTGACTCCGGTCGGATCTATGGTCATCTCAAATAAAAAATCCGATGAACGGAAATCCTAAGTAATTGTTATGATCCGACCAGTTCCGATATCAGTCAATGATCGGTTTTATCATGGAATCCTGTCGATATGAACCTAGAAGCTCCAATCATTTCTGATGATCGGATTACGTGGAATAAGATCGGATTCGGTCGGTTCCAGTTGTATGAATCTAGTCGGAACCCACCGTATCCGATCATCGGATATCAAAGGCAAACGCTGGATTATATCGGAATCCGACAAGAAATATCCGACCATCCAGATCACAACAGATTTCGCATCCGTCCGGCAGGATCCGATGTATTCGTTTCGACCTGGGTAATAGAAACGTTAAATGCAATCATCGTTCGTTATGGGTTGTATTTTTTTTTCGTTCTGTTCTATCTATTGCATACTAATATCTACCGATAATAAATTAAAGAATCCTTTTTAAATGTGTTAATTTAATTATTAATACAATATTTTACACCTTTTAGCGATGGAAATCTTGAAGGAAATATTATTGCATACTTTTACACTAACTTGATCTTGTTTTTTTGTTTTTGATTAAATTTAATAACTAGAAAGGATGATTAAACATTCAATAACAAAAATCTCAGCATTTTTAGCATATTTTGGATAAGTTTGAATAAAATTTATTAAATATTAATATATGTATGCAATGTAACACGTTTCTGATTATTTTTATTATAAAGAAAACATTCGTAACTATTGATGTAAGTAAAAACTCTTTCTTAAATGTCTTAGAGTTAGAAAAAAAAACAACTTTTAAAAAAAGAATATTATTCACAGCAATACTATATAATAAAATGAACTTGTTTGTATTGGAGATGCATCCAATCATCCTTCTATGTATAACATCAAAACAAATATTGTTTTATTATCAAATAGGTAAAGAGCAGTGACTATAGTTAAGTTTTCTGATTAAGGCGTGGTGAATAAAATATGACATTCATATTATTTCCCAAAATATATTTATTCATGCGTATCGATTTGCTGTTTATTATTGCTAAATATCGTTCATTCCAGGGTATGTCCAATTCATCTATATATACGCTTGAATATATTCAGATAAAAGCACAGTCGAATATATCTTCTATTTACTTGACGATTTATCAATACATCTGATTACTTTATAATCGAAAAATGTTGAATATTCAAACAATAATCTACTTGGTGATTGTCTCAACAACTTTGACAATCAATTGCAATGCAAGACAATACAACAATGCTGATATGGATGATAGCAACTTCTATGATGATCGTCGAGATTTAATAGACACATATTTAGATCGATATGTTGATAAACGTGCTGCTAAATCAGTTTGTACGGGTTCTGCTCAATGTGGGAATATATGTGATCCAAAAAAACAATATGATTCAAGTACTACTTGTGGTTTAGTTTGTTATGCTGCCAATTGGGAAGAAAAAGTTGGTAGTAAAGGTACTTGTCAATTGAATTCCAAAGTCTGCGGTGGTCAAAGTTCTACTTTTTGTCCTGGTGGTAGTTATACATCTATTCGTAATGATTATCCAAATAATCCAAGTTATTTCGATTGTAATAATGGTTATGGATGTGCTGATAGAGGAGGTTGTTGTGTTCGTATTGCTGGTGCAACAAATAATAACTGGCAATATTATTGTCTTAAATGTAATCAAAATTAAAATAAATAAACATTTTTTTATCCGAAAAAGACCATTACTAACATATTATCTGCGTCTATTCTATTCACATAATCTCTCTTTTCTTTTATTCATTTAATCATCGTGATTTTTTAAATTTCTGTTCTTTAATCTATGTTACTTTAGAAACCAACAAATATCTTTTTTTTAATCATATGAAATGTAGAAATAATCAATAGTTTTTATCAATCAAATCTTTTGTAATAAGAAAAGAAGACCACCTATGTAATGATTGCTAGAAATATATCAAAGATTAAAACAGGACATTGATATTGAAAAAAGTTGTTATTTCATCAGAATTATAAATCTCATAAAGAAGATTTAAAAGAAAAATTTGTTTTATAATATAGATTTTAGCAGTCGCGACTTCTAATCTCAGAATATATTGTTCTGTATAGCTCTAATCGTTTATAACGAAAATATGATTGTTTTTATGCCTAGTTAGCCAGATATAATGCTACTGAAATAAGATTTATTAAGTACCTCCCTATTATGATATGATTGTGTTACACGTGCTTCACATTGTATTTGTTTTTTTCTCGTCCTTCGCACCTTTTCTCTACTTGATGGTGTAAGAATAAGGACAAATATCTGCACTACACATATGGATGACTAATTGACAAAAAAATTCTGATTATTCAATCTTATAGCTGCAAGTTCAAGTGAATATAGCCATCGTATTAATGATCATGGACATTTTGGGGGTGTAAATGTCTTTTTATCAATCTACAGAGTCAGAAAGAATATTATTCAAGGGAGGTGTTATGTTTGTAAGATAGAAAGAGAGGCAGGCGAGTTCGAATTCAGTTAGAACACAACTGACTTTATTTTATTTTACAACAATATATAAGTATAACAAGAAGAAAGAACGAACAGGAAAGAATCTAATACAATATAGATGTCATAGTTGATTCAACCATAACAGGTGAGGGTGAGGGTGTGGGGTGTGGTGGGTGTGTTTATAGAAAAATAGATTCCAAGCATCATACGACATGTTTCGTCCTTGCTAAAGGAACTCGACAGGTATGTTAAGAATGCGTAACTAGGGTGTGGATGTGAGATTGAATTACCATGATCGATTTCAAACCTATCAAAGTTCGTTTTCAAATGGCTTAAAGCTCAAAATTGATCTTGAGAGTGAGTCAAGCTGTCTACGACGCGTTTCGAATGGGGCTTATTCCATTCATCATCAGGTAGTTTTGACTTTGTAGTCATCCAAAATTATCTAAGGATCATAGATAGACGACATAACTAACTATAGTTTCAAGGAAATTCCGAAAAAACCTGAATAGTAAGAAGAGCTAGTATTTTTATTGGAAGGTGGAAACAAATAGAGAAACAAATTAATGTATATAATGAAGATAAAATAAATTAATTTGCTAATCTCAATATTTGTTTGTTCAGCAGTCGATCTAATCAATCAACAATAAACTAAATAAATAAATATATGTAGATGTTTGATATGCCGACAGGTTTCGTGTTATTTGCTGAAATCATGAAACACTCATCAGGGCTCTACATATATAAATATAACAAGAAAGAAATAGAGAAAGAAAAAGAAAAAGAAAATGAGAACGACAATCAAATACAGGCAACATATGGACTGATAAAGAAAAGGAAAAAGAAAAAAGATTTTCGAGTAAAGAATATCTATCTTGAAAGTCGTTCCAATGTTGAATATCAAACTTTGCCGATAAATAATTTAATTTTATCGTGTATGAATCAGTTGTTTTTGAAGATTGTTAACATTACGAGTACCAAGGATTGGAGTGGAGTCATTGATTGGAGACTGTTCAAAATATTTATTGCAAAGAGAATGAAATTTTCTTGGAAATGTTGTCATATTTGAACAGTAAGTAAAATGAATAAATAAAGTCTTCCTATAATCTATTGGTACTTTTTGTCGTAATGTTTCATAATTATAATTTGTTAATGGCTCATCAAGATTAAATTTTTGTAGTAGACAATTAAATTGTTGATCGATAAATTTTACTGGATATTTATTAAGTAAAAGATCCAATCTTAATTTACCACGTTCATTTGTATAATTTTGAAATGTTGAATAATACCGAATTGCTCTAACGTAAGTAACATAGTAAATGGTATGTTCTGTTTCATATGTAATGGATGAATGCTATAAAATAGTAAATAATATGGTCCATAGGATGGTTTATGATAAACAGAAGTTATTAAATTGCCATCCTGATCTATAATTTGTAAATCCGGAATATTAATTTGATTGCTAGTATTAGTTTTGAGAATAATATTCTTATCGAATTTATTCCATCGATCAATTTGTCGAAGTAAATGACGTTGTGGCCAATCGATTATAATATTGACCATTATACGAGAAATAATTGTTTCGAATAACGAATCTAGCTAAACGAATAATAGCTTCTGTTTTGAGATCTTTAATTTCTTGTAATTGAAGATAGTCTAGAATTTTCTTGAGTGATAAAACACCTTCAATTTAAGGAATCATTGTATAAAGATCAGAAACATCTATTGTACACAATTAAGTATCTTGTTTCATATGAATGATAGACCATTTTCTTAAGTGTTGAATTAATTCAAAACCAGAAGTAATGTTGGTTTTTGAAGCCATTTGATTAAATAATGGTCGTAAATGAAAACAGCTTATCGCTTCTGACAAAATCAAAACGCTGTCACAATCATCAGCTGAACACGTTGCCAAATAATTTACGAACAAAAGCTAACTACACCACACCTACAACTCGATCTGTAAATATATAATCATTTGAAAAATACATATTCAACTACAACATTCACCAAAACGCGCCAACTAGCTCTACCAGAGAAACATTTAAATATGTCATCACCTTGAAAACACTTCTTCATCAAATGAAGACTCCTATTAAAAACATCTACCCTTACTGTATGTTCTTCTCAATTCACGACAAATTGAGAACGTCTTCCAGAGCTTACAAAAATCTATCCACCAACGACTACTGAGTCTAAGAAAAATAGTAAACCAAAGATTCTCAACAATGTGTTATGGTTGAGGATGATTTCCCAAGAGAAGAAATAATTCAAAACAATCATACGATCGTGATTCCAATATTTGTTTATACGATCGATCTCCAGATAAATTCAGAATTGTTCGTAACTACCTAGTATCTGTTTATTTGTCAGTGACCGTTTTCTATTAATGCTTGAAAAAAACTGAACAGATGATTTAATTCAAAAGCATCAAAAAATAACAAATGACTAAGTTGAATAGCAAATAAGGTTTTGAGATCGGTATTTGCTTACTGACAAATATCCTAAATATATTTGTCTTTTGGTTTCTGCTGCATACATTCCGCTGTAATCTGTTCCCAGCTTTTCGTCGAGTATTGTGCCGTCTGCTGGAAGAGCACATTAGCGCAACACAAACTAGCATGACAGTACAAAGTAGTTAGCATTTTAGTTGAGAGAGTATATTTGATGCTCACTTATTCTCATTAGAATCGTGCCTTGAAAACTTCTTGTTACATAGTTACATATCAGCTAGAGTTATTAGTAGAGGAGTCAAGGAATGGAGCTCATCAAATGATAGCTTACTGTGTTTATCTATATCGTGATTTCATGATAAAAATATCAAAATCATTCAGAAGATCATTCCAACGCACCGTAGTGAGCACTACTTTTGGTAAAGAGCCAGTCAAAATTTATGAATATCATACGGGAATGATCTATAACTAATTATATAAATAACGCTCGTACAGACGGACTCGCATTACCCTCGACTGAAAAGATTCATATGTAATAATCAATTTGCTATTGTTTTTTATTTCATATAAGAGAAAATGTTTTCCAATATGAAGTTTATTTATTTGTTTTTCAATGAAATAAAGACAAATCGATGATATAATAAACAACTACATGAAAGAAAGCAAACAAATAATTTTTTGTATTAGTTCTAACTAAATGTCTAAAGAAGTCAAAATATGAATAGAGTATATGCGAGTACGAATAAGAAGCGTGGAACAAAACATAATAGTTACGGTAAAATTGAAAACGAAATTTGGATTTCGATTACAAAACAACGGACTAATAGAGAAACTGTTTAATTATGTAAGAAATTTGCACAGTTACAAGTGATAGAAATGAATCCGATGCGCAAAATGGATAACAAGCAACGGTGATTTGTCTTTTCTATCGAATTTGTCAAAACCATTCTGAAAAACGCATTTGTGTTTCCATGTAGAGTTTGTCTAGCCTTTGCATCTCGGCAACTTGAGATTTGCTGGGTTTGATCACTAAGACTTTGTAATCAAAGTGTCGTAAAATAATTCAATCGTCCAAACGCTTCACTCTCATCTGTATCTTTTGGTAACTTCTGATCGATGACTACTTTACTTAAAGTTTGTCCTTGGCTTTTGTGAGTTGTGATAGAATATGCGGGTACAAGAGGTAACGCGCATCGTTTAATCGATAACATTGCCTTTCTGTTCGTTTTTGATTTGTTGTTGACTTTCGGAAGAATATCCGAAATGTCCACCTGAAAGGTTTGTTCTATTATTGGTATTGGAATGAGTTTTGGTTGAAGCTTTTCAAGATTGCACTCAATTTTGGATTTGCTTATTTCGATCAATGCATATATTGGCTTGTGCACATACTGGATGTTCACTGGAAATGTTTTTGACAGACTATTTGTTGGCACTGAGTCAAGATCATAGACTAGTTGTCTAAAGATTCCATTCATGCCGTTAATTAATCCGAGTTCAATAGCAATATTTTGTGTAATGATAACCGGCATTCCAGGAACTAACGGTAACAAANATCTGATGGATGTCGAGGTTCTTCATATCCAAAGTTAAAATCTCTGTTTACATTTGGAAACAAGGTTATAACTGGACCAGTGAATTTATAGTTCTCTGTGTCAAAAAGCCATTTGTCAAAAAAATCCAATCTTTCTCTGACAAAATTAGAGTCAATATATTTTTCGTGACAAAAGCGTATAACTGCTTGAGATATTTGAGGTTGTTGGTCATAATCTATATATGGGAATTCATTTGATATAAAATTAATATTAGACAAACCCAGTCGTGAAAGCTTTTCTCTTGTTTGTTCAATTAAAGCTTGTTGAAAAGTTGGTATATATATACAAGAAAGATTTTGATGCCATATGGCATTTTCTTGATTATTTAATTCATCAACAAAAATAGCCGATGATTGAATACCATTTTTAACTTCTTCTAATGTTGTACAAGTTGATAGATAGTTTAGAAAACGAGATAGATCAGCGCATACTAAAATATGTTTTCCATCTCGATTAGATTCAAAAACTAAAATAATAGTTGATCCAAACAAAGTTGATGCCTCTTGCATTATATCTCTATGCAGTGAAATTCTAATATCAAGATTGGGATCTTCTTGTCGCAATTGTTGAACAATTATCGACGAATAAAATATGTCTGTTTCAGAATTTATATAAATTTGAAGTCGAGATATAGAACCCAATAGTTCATGAAGACATTCTTGAACAAAATTTGTTCGTCTCGCTGGTGAAATATTATTAGGAATATTTTGCCTAATAAATTGTTGAATAACTAGAGGTGTAATGTTATTTTCTAACAAAAGGAAAGTCAGATCCAGACAATTAACATTCCATAGAACCTTTGTTCGTGTAATACGAAATGAATGTCGCGTGGAATCGTCAAGATTGCTTTGAGCAATAGCGGCGTATATACCATACAAAAGCTGCTGAACATTATCACCTTCAAGCCAGTTTACTTGATTTTTTCTATACACCGGAAAAAGAGTAGGTGTTTTAGGAAGTAGTGAATATATGTTATTAAATTCAGCACGAGTACTTTCCCATCTAGTACCTGTACATAAAGTTTCCATAATTGGTTTTGATGAACAGTATCCAAAGCACGTGCTTTGATTTGTGTCATATATACGATGACATCCTCCTTGAGCATGACTGATATCGATTTTTGTATATGTATCATCAACGAAATGCATTGTTCTGAGGAGCGTAATATTTGGAGTTGCTTGAAAAGTACGATAAGCCATGAATAAACAAAACGGCTGTGCTGAACATCTTCCAATGTTATCGATAAAATGAATTTTCTTCCAATCAAAAACTTCTGAATAGGGATCATAAATCTCTAAGTTTCGGATTCTTTGATAATACTGTAAGTTATTTATTGTAAAATTGTTTGAAACAGAGGCTCTTGGTGAGAATTTTTGAATTACATATTCAGATAATTTTTGCTGTTCAACTTCAGTCGTATAACTATAAACAGGTATTACAAACCATTTTTTTGGATCTTGATCTATGGAAAATACCAATAAATCAAGTGATTGATATAATAAATCAATAGAATAAATATCAATCTTTTGAAAAATATATCGTATGAAATTTAAATGTTCTGTTTCGAATGCACCTCCAAAGTCAATAACAGATGCTTGAATAGGATGACTCCATTGATTGATATGATCCAAATATTCACATAATGTATTTGTATTGCAACTACTTGGAGATTCTTTTCTTGTTGAATAAAATACTTGACGATATAACCCAATTGCCATTTCTAAATCATAATCGATCAAACAAACTGCTTTCGGAAATGTTTCTTTGCATATGTTTTGAATGAATGTGCAGCCTGGTAAACGATGTAAATTGTTCAATGTTTCAAAAATATCCTCATTGATAAAGATCTCATCAGTTTCAATATCCGTTATTGGTGACAATGATTCAGGTGAAGGATATAATATCGGAATAGAATTGTTATCATTCATGGTTAATATGTTGTTGAAAATAAAATAGTTTATTCTTTGACATAGAANCTGTCGGATAATTCCAATAATTTCTTAAGGAATGTCGGCTCTTCCACAGGTTTGCCTTTACAAAAGTCCTGGGCAACACACACCATTGGATCGCAACCTGTTTGTATTGCATTATGAATTGTCGATCTGTGATCCAGTTGCGTTCGTATTTCATTTCTAAACACAAGCATGGGAGCCTAAAACAAAAAAAGCATAGAACATATGTCTATTTAGAACAGAGAAATATATCCTACTTGATTCCATGGTGGTTCATGAAGAGATACTGATGACTGTCCAACAATGCACGTCAATAATAATTCACAATCTTCATAACTACATTGACCTTGACGAAGTCGTTCAAGTAATTGAAGATATCGTGAGTCTTCAGTTCGCATCTGTTGAGTAAGTTTGACCACACAATTAATTTGTAGAATTAAAGAACGTGTGACACGTTGCTGGATTTCTTTTTGTTTTTCGATGAAAAGTCAGTGTGTAACGGAGCATCGTATACTGGCTGGTACTGTAAATAATCACCAAAGAATATCACGTTTATACCACCGAATGGAATTTGCGGATCGGCATGTTTAGCGGCACAAAGGATTCGATTGAGTTTTCCGAGTAAAGTCAAACCAACCATACTCATTTCATCAATCAAGAGATACTCTACAAGTGTCCATTCGTTTTCCAGTTTTAAATCGCCTGGTTTAATAGTTCGTGGCTTTCCTGAATTGCGTTGTTCGCCTAAAAATGAATGGATAGTCATGCCACCAATCTCAGCAGTTGCAATTCCAGAGAGTGCTAGCTTTCGCATCTTTTGTATTCTGTTTGTAACATGAAAATATTCAGTCACAGCACGAATAAGTTGTGATTTTCCTGTACCACCACACCGGGGTATACACATGATGAGTTGACCATTGTTATCTCCTATATGGATGATATTTTTCAATTTATGATTATATAGAACCATGTGCATGAACATACCTGCGTGTGACGGTTGGTCGCCATCAAGGTGACTTGTGATTATCATGAATGCAGCTTTTTGCTCTCTGTTTAGTGTGTATTGATCAGCGACGCTCTTTTGATTACAATATGTTGTACTCGTTACTGAAGCAACTGGAAGAATTGAGTTATACTTATCAGACATGTTCATATTTGAATTAGTTGAATTTATCAGTGTTACAACTGTATCTTCTATACCGTCCATGTTTGACTCGTCGCCTATTTTATAATGTTTACCAGTGATTAAATTTCGTCTAACTCGCTCTCTTTCAGCTTTCAGCTGCTCTTGCCATATAGTATTGAGTCGAACGAGATCAGATGTTGAAGGAGCAAATGATGCAGCAAGAAAATAACATTATTTTAAAGGTGAGTCTTTACAAATAGGAGTGGCACTTTATCTGTTAAAGTAAAGTTGTATAACTTTACCGAAAAAGCAAAGTAAAGTCAACAAAACAGAATATTTCAGATTTATCAAAAAACTAAGAATATGTACTCAGGATGTTCACTGTTCATTTGGAGCATACAGATACGCTAAACTACATTGAAAACTGTAGTGTTTTATGAATTATCTTCAAAATAGCAGCAAGTGAAATCGAAAATTAAATATTCAGCGGTGCTTATCAGGGCTTTACGTGGGATGAGACGATCGAGTGCCATCCCGTAAGAGTAATTTTAAAATACTACTATCCCGTTCGATCACTGGCGGGCCAGGGGATGCGAGAGGAAGCAATTGCTCCCCTTGAAAATTTTTTTAGCTATGAATTGGAGAAAAACATCTTAAAAGTAGGTATTTTCTTCGAAAAAGTCCTTACTGCTCTCTCCCCCCTTGAAAATTATGGTCTGGCCCGTCAATCCATCCCATGAGACGAAATTTCGTATAAAATTCTCTTTTTATCGAGAAAAATTCTCTCAGTATCTATAGATATCCATTTCGACTAGCCAACCAGAACAGATTAAAAATATCTATCTTTGCGACATATTTGAAGGGTTACAAGGGGTAAATACTGGATCAAGATGGAATAATAAATGATGCACAGTATGAACAATAAAAGAATTGAATTAAGTCTATTGTGAAACAAATCACTAATAGTTCACCTTTAATAATATCTTTGAACAAGTCGCTATCTATTCTTCAAAGTCCATCTAATGAATATATAAATATAGACTTTTCTACACTTATTTCTTCAACTGCTGATTTTTAATTAACTCTTATTCAGTTTACAACTGAAGGAATTTATCCTTTATTGAAAAAAGATTAAGCAAACCATAGAGCGATTAAAAACGCAAAGAATACTTTGACATTTGAGCGTTGGAACGGTTTTGGCTGGCAATAATAAAGTGAATAGGCTGTTTTCTGAAGGGTTCTTAACACTTCTTGAAAGGCATGCGATGGGATAGAATGGGTCCAAAGTATTTTGTCCCATCCCATCTAATAGAATTACTTTTAAAAGACTGCTACTCCGTATCATGGGATGCACGGAAAAAGCTCATCCGATGGGATCTTTTTCTCGTCCTATCGTATCCCACGCGGAGTCCTGGTGCGTAATTGATACTTTTGAAACAGAAATGGTATTTGACTCGTACTCTTCGAAAGAAACTAGAGACGCGCAAATCCGCAGTTAACTCTCCTAGCAACAAGAAATTTTAGCTAGAACTCCGTAGCAACTGTTACTGGAAAAACGAATCCGGTCAGATTGGATTCCAAGGATTTCAGAGGATTTCTTTGGTAGTTTTTCCTAAAAACAGAACAAAAGTGTTCTGTTTTTGGGAATTATTTTCATAACAGAACACTTTTGTTCTTTTTTTTTCGGGAAATATGAAATCGCGAGATTTTGGATTCTTTGAGATTCTTTGGGATTCCATGGGATTTTATTAGATTTCTTGGGATTCTCTAAGATTCCTTCAGATTACTTTGGATTCAAGAATTCCCGATTCCGCTCTTTCCCCTTGCGCTCATCCGTATAATAGTCATTCCGAACATCCGGTCATGCCGTCGGATGTTCGTAAAGGGTTAGACGAAACGTTATCCATCATTTACTGGTCGATAGTAAAAATTAGTGTCATAAAATGTATGTGAATGTTAATTTCTCCATTGAATCAATGTTAAAACTTCACCACAACGTAAACTATACATGCCACAAGTATCTGATGGATGTCGAGGTTCTTCATATCCAAAGTTAAAATTTCTGTTTACATTTGGAAACAAGGTTATAACTGGACCAGTGAATTTATAGTTCTCTGTATCAAAAAGCCATTTGTCAAAAAAATCCAATCTTTCTCTGACAAAATTAGAGTCAATATATTTTTCGTGACAAAAGCGTATAACTGCTTGAGATATTTGAGGTTGTTGGTCATGATCTATATATGGGAATTCATTTGGTATAAAATTAATATTAGACAAACCCAGTCGTGAAAGCTTTTCTCTTGTTTGTTCAATTAAAGCTTGTTGAAAAGCTGGTATATATATACAAGAAAGATTTTGATGCCATATGGCATTTTCTTGATTATTTAATTCATCAACAAAAATAGCCGATGATTGAATACCATTTCTAACTTCTTCTAATGTTGTACAAGTTGATAGATAGTTTAGAAAACGAGATAGATCAGCACATACTAAAATATGTTTTCCATCTCGATTAGATTCAAAAACTAAAATAATAGTTGATCCAAACAAAGTTGATGTCTCTTGCATTACATCTTTATGCAGAGAAATTTGAATATCAAGATTGGGATCTTCTTGTCGTAATTGTTGAATAAGTATCGATGAATAAAATATGTCTGTTTCAGAATTTATATAAATTCGAAGTCGAGATATAGAGCCCAATAGTTCATGAAGACATTCTTGAACAAAATTTGTTGGTCTCGCTGGTGAAATATTATTAGGAATATTTTGCTCAATAAATTGTTGAATAACTAGAGGTGTAATGTTATTTTCTAATAAAAGAAAAGTCAGATCCAAACAATTAACATTCCATAGAACCTTTGTTCGTGTAATACGAAATGAATGTCGTATGGAATCGTCAAGATTGCGTTGAGCAATAGTGGTGTATATACCATATAAAAGCTGCTGAACATTGTCACCTTCAAGCCAATTTACTTGGTTTTTTCTGTACATTGGATAAAGAGTGGATGTTTTAGGAAGTAGTGGGTATATGTTATTGAATTCAGCACGAGTACTTTCCCATCTAGTACCTGTGCATAAAGCTTCCATAATTGGTTTTGATGAACAGCATCCAAAGCACTTGCTTTGATTTGTGTCATATATACGACGACATCCTCCTTGAGCATGATCGATATCGATTTTTGTGTATGCATCATCAATGAAATCCATTGCTCTGAGGAGCATAATATTTGGAGTGGCTTGAAAAGTACGATAAGCCATGAATAAACAAAACGGTCGTGCTGAACATCTTCCAATGTTATCGATAAAATGAATTTTCTTCCAATCAAAAACTTCTGAATAGGGATCATAAATTTCTAAGTTTCGGATTCTTTCATAATACTGTAAGTTATTTATTGTAAATTTGTTTGAAACAGACGATCTTGATGAGAATTCTTGAATTACATATTCAGATAATTCTTGCTGTTCAACTTCAGTCGTACAACTATAAACAGGTATTACAAACCATTTTTTTGGATCTTGATCTATGGAAAATACCAATAAATCAAGTGATTTATATAATAAATCAATAGAATAAATATCAATATTTCGAAAAATATATCGTATGAAATTTAAATGTTCTGTTTCGAATGCACCTCCAAAGTCAATAATAGATGCTTGAATAGGATGACTCCATTGATTGATATGATCCAAATATTCAGGTAATGTATTTGTATTGCAACTATTTGGAGATTCTTTTCTTGTTGAATAAAATACTTGACGATATAACCTAATTGCCATTTCTAAATCATAACCGATCAAACAAACTGCTTTCGGAAATGTTTCTTTGCATATGTTTTGAATGAATGTGCATCCTGGTAAACGATGTAAATTGTTCAATGTTTCAAAAATATCCTCATTGATAAAGATCTCATCGGTTTCAATATCCGTTATTGGTGACAATGATTCAGGTGAAGGATATAATATCGGAATAGAATTGTTATCATTCATGGTTAATATGTTGTTGAAAATAAAATAGTTTATTCTTTGACATAGAAGTTATATTTTATTCTTCTCGTTGTCCGTCTCGTTTTTTTTCTCTATTTCTCCATAGTGTTATAAATAGATTTTCCCAGTCAATTCTGTTGCTCAGACGATGAACAAGAAATATGAAGCGTTTTTTCTATTGTTAAAGTTGATGTTTTGAAGATATATGAAAGAAAATAATGAAATTATTCATTGCCATTCTAGATTTGATGCGTTATAGCGTTTTCCGGGAACTCGAAAATTGCATCGGTAATAGACAACAGTTATAGAGTTTAGTTTTCTCTTTAGTAATGACCGTAATCGAGAATTTTCCAATTTCCATCATGGAAATCAGGTCCATTATGCCTATTATGTCCTATAGATCCGTTGCAAATGTTTAGTTGAAATATTAATCCTCGCACCCTTCGAGGCACCCTCAGTCAAATGAACCTTCTTTACAACCAGTAAGGACTATGGAAATTGAGAACTTTCTGAGAATATACTATAAGTAGAACAGAAATCAATTTCCGGAAATTATTGTCATTTAGAAAATGTAGTCCATTTCCTGGAAATCGCTATAACGCATCATATAGTCGATCTTGTAACCTATCATCTAAAAGTAAACGACCATCATCGGTGACTTCTTCATAAGCTGCGCTGTTTTAGTCATATATTCATATGCTTTACGAGTCATCGTTGTCGTATCACCAATGTACAATGTTTTTGTTTTATCAATTCGACAAATTATAATATCGGGTCGTTTACGGATTTAAATAATATGATCTTATTTCCATCCACAAATCTGTCATTTATTATATTAGAGTTTATGATGATTAATATATTTTTTTTATTGTAAATTTAACTGAAAAGACGAAGAAGATAGGCATTAGATAGAATATTTAGAAGAATATGTTGAGATACAAAACAATGCACAACATAAATTAAAACAGATTCATTAATCGAGATTTTCTACAATATAATAATATTCAAATTAAAATTTAGAAGTCGATTATTGAAAAAACGGTCAGAATTGAAAATGTGAAATCTTTTTTAAATTTTATTGAAGTTTGTAAAAGTACTTTAATGATGGATATTTACTCCTTAAGACCAGCTTTCATAGCAGAATAAATTCTACGAACAAACCAAAAACAAGCAAGAAATCCGATTGTACCTAAAATAGAAGAAAATTTCATAATGTATTTGAGTTTATTCGCATCTAAATTACCAGTGAATAAAAATAAAATCAAAGTCAATATCAATGTATAACCAAAATACATAAATATTGATATATTATCAATAAATTTTAATTTGTTCATAAAAAAACAAATCGAATAAATAAAGAAATAAAAAGCAGTAAAGCCTGATGTAAAGAAAGAACGCCACCACCAATTATAATCCTAAATAAATTTCATTAAAATAAAGTATTTAGATTTTACAAAAGAACAATTTCTTTACTTCAGCACATAAATGTGAATAACAAAGAAGTATTGTCGTTTCTGAACATGTTATTATTAAAATAATATAAGTGACAAATAAATAACTAAACGAATTATAATATTGTTCAATCCTACATATATATCAATGACATAAATTTCAAAACAAAAAACGATAAGATTCTTTACCAAATAAAACTTAAAAGAAAATATATTTGAATAATAATACAACCAAATGGAAAAATACCACCAATGGGAATACCTATGAAAACAATTGTTTTAAACTTATAAATATATTGATTCTTCATACCGATTAATGGTTTTGTAAACAAAGTCTTCTTCGGTACTTGTCGTTGAATTTGATTTGTTTGAGTAGGATTTTCTAACATCTTGAAAAAAAAACATTTAAATCATTAATAAAAAATATTTTCTTTACTCTTATTGGATATTTATAACCAAAATAAGCTCCAATGAATACTAACGGTATTGAAATAAAGAACCATAAAGCAAATAATTCTAAGAATGTTATAAATGGAATAACAATTGAAGTATTATTTATCGAAAGAACGAAATTTAAGATGAATAATATTATAAAAATGAATCTTAAAAGATAAAAATGAAAATGAAAATATTCTATTAAATTATATCAATTGAACTATTATACCCAGGACATACAAGAGTTGTCATTATATTATTCATCTTTTGTTGTTTTCCATTAAATACTAGAATGAAAAATGAATTAAATAAGATTAGGTCAAATTCGATTTCTTACATTTGTATAAACAAGCTGAAGTATAACCAGATAATGTATTCATTAGAATATAACAAATTATTAAACCTGAATAAATCAATCTAATTATTATGATAATATATTAAAACAAAAAGAAATTTTACAAGTCATAAATGATCCACGTTTTTCAAGTGAAAGAAAACCGAGATATGCAAAACCTTAAAAAAATCTGACCATCAGTAATATTTAAATATATAATATAATGAAATGAAATTCTTACACAATGTAATGAAAAGCATCATAGTAATTTGAATACCATTACCGATTAAAACAGATAAAAGCATTGTATTTTTTGGAAATCGAAATACATCACCAGCAACTCTATTAGAATATGAATAGATTTATATATTCTAACAAAAATAACTTACAATATCCATCTCATTTGTTTTTTTATACATGTCTATGTAAAATTAAAGATATTAATCATAACCTTTTCTTTTTGTTCACTTACTTCATCAGTTGATTGATAAAAATGTGGAATTTCTTGATGTAAAACCCGTTTAAATGTCACAGCAATACATACAGAAAGAAATAAGATAACAGTCAACGAACTTATAAGTGAAAACCATTGAATACGCGATTTCGGTATTGATTTAAGAATATAATTCCATCGATTACTCCAAAGAATATCGTTATTTTTCACAAATTTCACACTATATGTATATGAAATTGTAACATCTTTACTTGTTGATTGAAACATAACTGGAGCAGCTAAACGATCACATGAATCCGAATTTAAACTACGAAAAATAATTAAAATTTCATCATAAAATGATTTTCTTTTATTTGAATATACCTATTCACTTGAACTTTAATTGAAATTATTTGACCTCCTTCTTCGCCAAATGCAGCTCCCCATGTTTCACCTGAATAAAATCAAATAAAATCAAATTCTCTTAATTATTTCACCTTCTCCACTATGATAAGTTATTTCAAAATCCAAATGATTAAAAATATCAAATGTATCATTTTTTGCATCTGGAAC